GTATTATCCTCTCCACTGCCAGCACCCTCTGGCTAGTTCCCTTCCTTATTCATGGTGACCTCTTTCTCCCTTCTTATCATATACATACATTATTTTAGTAGTCAACCTTGTGAATCTTACTACATACCTCTATTTGGAAACAAGAAAAGCATTTCATCTTACACAAGTATAACATTTTATTTTTGCCATTCTTTAAAATTAAAGCTACCACATAAAGATGATTCCCTTAAACTCATTACTGATTGCTAATGTGACATATTCAGTTTGATCATCTGGTGAAAAATATACTCAAAACTAAATAGATTATCTTGACACTTGCTCTTGGCACAATAAAAGGGAACCATGTATTTTCAAGTGTAAGGTCTACATATTACCACATTGTGAGGTTGAGATGCCAGAAAAGCTAGAAATTTTTTATTATTGTTTATTTAAACCAAGAACATTTTGTTATTTGGTTGGTATAGTATATGAAATTTGAATATAGAAGGACCAAATACAAAGCATATCTGAAATGTAGAACCTAATGATGCTGGCATTTTCCCAATATCTTCTTCCTGAATACAACATATGGTATATATAGTGTAATATATATGCAATTACAGGAACATTCGGTTTGCAAAAAAACCCACAACCTCAGATATAGTGTGTCCAGGCCATAGCATTTTCTAGAACTTTTAAAATGAAACTCATGAAAGCATGAAGCCAGCAATACCAAATGTAGACAATTTTAGGTGGGCACTGGTATAATGAGCCTAAAAACTAATGACAGGACTTTAAAAAATCACTACAATGGCATATAGAAGCAGATAGATTACACAAAACATTCTTGTAATAAAATAGCTATTCTTAGCAGCTCCTTTTAAATTTTCTTTAGGACAGATAACTAAAAAGCATATGATGTATAACAAAAAAAGTTTGATTTTTTTCTTGTTTAGAAAGCAAGTCATGGTAATACCTGATAAAATTCATGTATTTATAAAAATAAAACTGTTCAATTAATAAAATTAATTCTGATGGTAGAATTTAGAGCTGTTCAACGGGTGTGTATATTAAACTGGAGGACACTGGCAAGCAATCACCATGTAAAAATAAATAAGGACTCTGGACACTGCCAGCACATGGTCAGGTCTGTGCCCGAGGTGACTGACATCCAGTTTTTGCAATTCTCATTTCAGTTGCCACTGACAGTAAAACGTCACTGTCCATCATTCCGAATCAGCCTTTCTACCTCCTTAACTTTGGTGAAGAGGCATGTGTGAGTGGACAATGGGCACAAAGAACAACACACATTTCATGCTTAATGGTCACACAGCAAGTGACCACAGCCTGTGCCCTCCAAGGAAAACGGAAATTGTGAAGATCGTTTTATTTTTCTATTTTTTTAATTTTATTTTTCCATTCAAAAATGGAGCACCGGACTGAGCTCTTAAGATCCAAATGAGGAGCAGAAGGAGGGAGAACATGAGCAAGGAAGTCAGGACCACGAGGGGTGCACCCACCCACTGTGACAGTGGAACTGATCTATTGGGAGATCACCAAGGCCAGCAGGACTGGGACTGAATAAGCATGGGATGAAACCGAACTTTCTGAACATGGTGGACAATGAAGGCTGATGAGAAGCCAAGGACAATGGCACTAGGTTTCGATCCTAATACATGAACTGGCTTTGTTCTGGATGCTCACCCTCCTGGACCTGGATAGAGGTGGGAGGACCTTGGACTACCCGCAGGGCAGGGAATCTGGACTGCTCTTCATTCTCGAGAGGGAGGGGGAATGGAGTGGGGGGGGGAGGAGGAAAGGGGGAGAGGAGTGAGGGGAGGGGCGATGTGTGGGAGGAGGGGGAGGGAAATGGGAAATGGGGAGGAGACGGAAATTTTTTTTCAACAACTAAAAAAAAATAAACAAAATAAATAAATAAATAAATAAAAATTTCTACTTCTTCCCCTTCTTCCATTCCCCTTCTGCTCCCCCACTCACCCTTCACCCTCCCCTTCCAGTCTTAAGAGAAGGCAGGGTACCCTGCCCTGTGGGAAGTCCAAGGCCCTCCCACTCCATCCAGGCCTAGGAAGGTGCGCATCCAAATAGACTATGGTCCCAAAAAGTCAGTACATGAACTCTTTAGTGAACTCTAGCCATAAACAAAGGACATTGAGCCTGTAGTTCACAAGCCTAGAGAAGCCAAATAATAAGGAGAACCCAAAGAAAAACATATATAGATCCTCCTGGAAATTGGAAGCAGATAAGATCGCCAGGCAAAAGTTGGGAGCATGGGGGTGGGGGTGGGGTGGGGAGAAGGGGAGAGGGGGAGAGAAAAGGGAGAAGGGAAGGATGTGAGAGCTTGGGAGAATAGGAGGATTAAAATGGAGGAAGGGCAAAGATCCTTTTATAAATGCTCTCTCCTCTATGGAGATCCTAGCTTCTAATGTCCCCCCCCCCCTGAGTTGGAGGGGGTAAAACAGGGGTGTTAAAGGAATGGAGGAGGGCAATGGAACCAAATGCATGGAAGGAGGCAAGGGGACGGAACAGGAGGGTAGTGGAGAAGAGTGAGGAGGAAAATCAACAAAACAAATTCTCTTTGAAAATTCCATATGAAACTTAACAGTGTGTAGACTAGTCAAAAGCTCATAATTAAGGAAGATTTGTTTTCTTCAGAGGCAGAAGTGGAAACATAAGGAAATCGGGACCTAGACACTTGTCACCATGCTCAGCAAGTCTTGCTCCCAGGCCCCCGCGTGCCATTAGTTTTATTTATTGGTATCACATGTCTAGCTCTTGTTGTTTTTGGCACCTTGTGAGCTCTAACTCTGAGTTATTCACTCTGTCTCTGACACCTCTGTGACTTTCTTCTCTCTGCTTTCAGGACTTATTTCAAAGTGATTCTTATAGATCATAAATTGACCTTCAACTGATCTCACTGCTGTATCCAACAGGCCTGTTGTCAACTTTCTTTGACCCTCAGATAGCCTAGGTACACATTCTCCATTCCTCTGCCACCTTCACTTTTCTTAATTTCTGCTTAAATGGCTTGCCTCTCAATATAACATTGTTTCTTAAAGTTAATCATGATCTTTTAAAAGTTCTTCCCTTAATTTTGTTGGATCTCTTTTCTCCTCTAAAGATCTGTGGTACATTCTTGTCCTTATATTCTACAACCGTCATCACTTTTGCCTTACCTTTTAAACCTCCAGGCCCACAATAATATCCATTTCTTTAACTTTATGCTAGCTACATTATCCGGGGCTCAGTCCTTGATTCTCAAGACTTTTCTCTCTATATGAAAAAATATTCAGCTGTGTTTTTCAGCTTAAATACCTAAGAAACTCCTACCTAAGTTGCAAGAACAGTTGGTGCCTTTCTATTACAGCTTTTACCTGTTTTATTTGTTCCACATCTTCTCTCTCAGACAGTTTATTGACATTGTACTTAAACTGTATCACATTAGTAAGACCTGGGTGACTTTTCTGGCTTTTTACAACTATCAATCTGGTTTCAAAAAAAAAAATGTTTCAAAGCTTTAGTGACTCTCCACACCCTGGGCATGATGATTTCTATGTGAGCAACTTCCCTACCCTTCTCCTCAATACCTTCCCCAAAGTTCATATCAAAGTGAGATATTCATTTGGTGTGGCACCTTAAAATTCCGTACCAATATCTCAACACACCAATCATCTTTTTATTATGTCCTTCTATGTCCTGTTTTATATAATAAGGTGTTTGAGGTAAGAATATTATTCACTATGCTTATACTAGCTTCTAGTATAGTGTGACTAGCACTTAAATTATCACTGGTTTGAGACTACAACCAGAGATAATTATGTATCATAACAGAGATATCCAAAAGTTCTACTTTCTGTTCAATGAACACAATAATGACATGTCTTAGCAGGTCAAGGTGCTTACACCAAGTCTGACAACCTGAGTTTAATGTCCAGAAATAGAAAAAAGATGCTTCCAAGCTGTCCTATTATTGCCACATGTGCCTTCTAGCAATGTGACTTTTTTCTGCTTCTTCCTGAGTGTCCAGGACATCCACCTATTTCCTTCATGGCCTTATTCACAATACCATCAATATTATTTTTATTTGGAAAATTATTCTACATGTAAATCTTGAATTTTCTTGTTTCCAAATAGAGGTATCTTGTTTGAAGCTTTCTCCAACGACCAAAAACAAAACAAAGAAATGTTAAAAACTAAGAACCATGTCATTTAAAAAATGAATCATTTTCTCACTCTTTAAAAGTTATAATATTAAACTATTATTATGTAATTTTGACAGTGGATTTCCAGCAATAAGGAAATATTTATAGTATCTGAGCTATATCTAAGTGGTGGCTAGAATAGAGGCTAAAGTGCCTGATGAAGAGCCCATCACTTCAAACATCTGCTCTGTGAACTTCCGGTGGAACAAAATCCTAAAATTAAATAAAAGTACTAATACAACAATTCCTGATTTTTAGTATACCAAATTAGAAAGCTGCAATTCATTTTCAGTCTTGATGTATTATCTTCTTCAACAATTAATACTTCAATAGCTTTATCACAAACATCCAAAAACAAAATTAAACCTTAAGTGTGTTGGTTTTCATCTGTTTTAAATCACAATTTCAAATATCAAACTACTACAACTTAGAATTGAGGAGTTTCTCTCACTTAGTTACTTTAAATCTGAACTTAAAAGAAGAGCAAAATGATACAGTCTGGAAAAACAAAACCAATCTGTATTTATATTGACTTGGTTAATTATGTGTTTATTTTATGAAACACTTGACAAACAGAGCTTTAGAACGATGTTCTTGGCAGAGATGCTGTAACAAGAACCCAAGAATCAGATGTGTAGCTGATTAGATGACTTAAAATCCTATTCAGCTCTGAAAGTCCAGGACGTAGGGTCATGAATCGATTTAAGGCACACTCTATGCTGACTAAGGTCATCATATTTCTTAAACAATAGCAATATTTGTGAGAAGAGCCTGGCAGCCAAGAGCAGAAATTGGACTTACGAGTACTGAGTCAGCAGTTCCAAATCGTTGTGCATATTGATTGGATAGGCTTCACTAAGTTCAAACAACTTTTCCAGGGCTTCATAGATAAAGATGATGCAAATAAGAGAAGCAAAAGCTTCTTCAGTAAACCGAGTAATATAGCAGACAAGGGAACTCGCATCAGTGGCCACCAGGATGATACACAGGGTTGCAGTCCAAAGCCCAATGCTGGCTCGTAAAGACAAGTATGATAGCCCGTATTCTCTAGGAAAAAGAGGAAAGTGTGGGAAGAAGGTCATTTTGCAGCTTGCCACTTTTGAAATAAGTTTAAATAAGCCCAATTTAGGAAGAAAAAGTGAGCAAATTCACATCCCTCAAGTCTCTGAGTTCAAGATGTTGCCTATATAGAAATACAAAGGAACAAATTAATGGAGGTTTCTTGGTGCTTAAAACTGAATCTCGTTTATTATAAATATTGAATGTATGATATATGCACAAATCTTTTGACTTTTCCTTCATTTCCACTGAGAGACAAAAATGACAGACTGAATCATACCAGCCAATTTCACTTCTCTCCACCGACCTCCAAAAGTGATGTTGGATGAAGAAATAAAAAAACAGCAGTAAAAAAGCATATAGTAGAGAAGAGTCATAATACTTACTTGCAAAATTTAAACAAAATCTTTTCAAACACCAAAACAGGTCCTGTACTGCCTAATATGGTAAGGGGCTGTCCACCAAAAAGAGAATAGGCTATCCCGGTCATAGATGCTCCAAACAGTGATTCGATTGCACTCTGTAAAAACAACATGAATTCCCTCATCTAAACAGGCAGACATTGTAATATATATAAACATTTCAGATACGGTGGTTCACATTTTCACCCTTCACCATGTTAGGCCTAGCAAATGCAGACAGAATATGGGAAATAAGGCTGAAAAAATGGCACATGAGGGTAGAAAATCAGTGATCAGTGATGGCAACTGGGAAGTAGGATCTAGACCTTCTTGCTTCATCTTTTATCACTTCACGAATTATTTAAATGTTGTCATAATCAGTGTCTGAACAGAAGGATGGCAAAAATTTTTGAAAAATGGACTTAACCTAAAACTGATAGAAAATTTTAGATCAAGGGATGTGGCATCATGCCGTAGCCTTGTAAAAGACTCAAAATAAATGTTTCTAAGATATTCTCTTCCCAGATCACCAGCTCCACTAGACATCCAGTATATTCATAGGAAGTTTGTTTGCTGAACCGTGTATCAAATCCCCAATACCCGAATTCCAATTCTCACTTACATAACTACAAATCTTTAAAAAAAAAACAGACTAAGATTCAAAGTTCAGAGAAAAGCATAATACATACTATACGACCTTCAGTTGCTTCTCCCAACAGTCCTCCAAACGTGATGACTGGAGACATGCACGCACAGTAGAGAAACAGGAAAGATGCTAAACACTGCAGGCTGAAAGCGTCTCTGAAGTCACTCCAGAAGAATGGAGCTTTTCTTTTGATATCTAATATAAGTCCCCCAAAAATCCTAAGACATGGGGGAAAACACAACAGTGAAACCCAAAGATAAAAAGCACATAAGTCAAAATGTGCACTTGTTCTGTTGCCCGGTCACAGTAATATTTCCATCAGCAGAGATGAGACCCATATCAGCCTACCACGTTGCTGCATAATGACTTACAGGGATAGCTTTGCACTACTACATTAACCCGAAAAGTGTGCCTACAATTAAAAACCATCAGGCTTTCTCAAGATCCAGGGATTCATCAATCAAATTTCAAATGAGATTCATGGGTTATTCCAATGTCTGTGTCATTTTTTCATTAACCCACACCATCTAAACTCAGATCCCCACTGTCAACGATGGAAGTGTTGGCTAATACTTTGCACTTAATTTAGCATAGCAGAAAGTGAGACAGAGACACGTGGTCTTTGTGAAAGCTAGTAGTAAAAATCACTTTAAAGAGAATAAAGTCGTGTTCAATCACGACTCCAGTCACCTAGTCCCTCTGCCAAAAAAACCCTGCCTCAACAAAACATTGCCTAAGGGAACAGCTAAGTCTAAATGGGCATATGCATAACAACATTCATTAGAGACATATAGACTCTGAGGTTGTTTTTAGTTTTAGAAAACTAAGAGGTTAACCTAATACATAAAACTAGATAAATGTTATTTTGATGTACTATTGTCAACACACATTCTAACACTCATCAATTATAAGACAATAAGGCCTTTTCTGGAAATAATTCACTTATTCCAAATATGACACCTTGAAACACTTCAAAGGGCTGCGTTTTCGGTTCAGGAGCTTTAATTGTAAGTTGATCTTTAAAATCTGAGTACTAATGTTCTTTACTGTATTAGGAATAAGAATATTAAATATTAAAGTAGGTATTCTCATTATTTGAATATTTGATAACATTAAAATTTAGTATTTGATATTAAAAGTTCATTTTATTCTATGGAATAAAGATGTGATCTTAAAGTAAGACTGCAATGTTGTTCCTATGTGAAAGTCAATAATTAAAAAATACATTTTAAAGCTGGAGAGGATGGCACATGACAATAAGCTCAGCACTCCAGAGGCAGGAGGCAGGAGGCAGGTTTGTGAGTTTGAAGCCAATCAGGAACATACAGCAAAACGTTGTCTCAAATGAGCAATAAAGCAAAACCTGTGAGGTTCCAGAATTCTGATATTATAATGAATGTTCTTGGATCATAAAATTAGACTTTTGTTATTTTATAATTATTCTTTGTAGTGTTATCCTAAAAGTTATGGTTTACATAAGAACCAACTTTACTTGACCTTGAAATTATACTAAAAGTAACTTATTTTTCATTTCTAGTTTTTTTTTTGGGCATATCTGTGACTTGTCAGAGGACAATTTGAGGGAATCAATTCTCTCCTTGTACCATGTGGGTTCTGGGGATGACTTGGGTGGTCAGGCTCAGCACTGAGCCCTTTATTTCCTTTAATTCCTCTGATCTGATGGAGACATAATTGTATATTAGTAACTATCTAATGACATATGAGTGTAAAAATCACTGCCTAATGATTTCTCCAACCAGAAAAGATTGAGACAAATAAAATTCTGAGACATTTGAAACTCAGAGACACTTCCAGAGAACACATGGACTGTGTACATATACAAACTTCTCATAATTCATATGGTAAAACATGAGCATGTTAATGTTGAATAGTTTCTATTTCTGAATAATATGTTATCTTGTCAAAGTACAAAGTTCAGAGTAGATTTATTCTACTAGCATCATTTATGATTTATATCCTACCTAGTTCTAAAAATAATTTGAGATATTTATGAACTATTAATTAGTAAGTAATATTTATAGCTTTGGTAGCATTTTATATTCAACCATGGCTTTGTAATTATTCACTTATTAGATCATACATTAATCTGAATAGTTGTTATATAGCTGTGTAATAAATGTGCTTTTATCGGTAAAAGTCTAAATCCAGAAGTGGGAGTTCGTTACAGAAGAAAGTGCAAGAGCAGCCCAGATGTGCACCAGCAACTCCAGGAGAGCAGATGAGTAATGGACACTTCAAGTCATGTCAGCAACAGAATCTGTGGAAGAACTCTGGAGAAGCGAAGATACCGGATATTGGTGACCTGGGAGGATTTAGGAAGCAGTAAGGAAGGTGAACTCGAAAAAAAATCTAAGCTATGCGGCATGTTACACCTGAGAGAAAAAAAAAATATATACCACCACCAAAAATCAAAAGACTGTATTTGAAAGCATGAAAGCAAACAGAATGAGTAACAGATCTTCCAGCGAAGGGAGAAGGGAAACTTGAACCATCTAAAAATAGGTACGAAGCCAAGGGAGATGCTAAAGGACATTTCCTCAGAGACAAACAGTGATAAAGGGAAAACACAGAATTAAAATACAGAATTGTAAGGGACAGAAACGTCAGCTCAGTGGGCATACTGCAAGCAGTACAGAAAACGGCCCGAGGGGAGGGCCACCATTCCTACAGAGCCTTGGCAATGTCTTTAATTCTAGGGAGGCTGTCCACACAAGTTCCCCGAAGAGACATCCACCCAAGGGTTTCTGATTTTCTCCTCACACATTGCTTGCAGAAAGACAAGCTGTCAAAAACCCATAAAAAAAAACATTTTATGAAATAAATTGAAGCTTTCATCTCTTCAAAGGTGTGTGATTAGAAAAATAAATCATAATAGCTCTTTCAAATCACAGGCATAGTAAACAATAAAACTACCATTATACATACCCTACTAGTATCTAATGAGGTAAGGTCTATAGGACTTAATTCTTGGTATATAGTTTTATTTCCATCTTGAACTTGAAACTTTCAACAAGATGTTTTGGAAGCTTCAAGTGACAGTTTTCTTAGATTCATTCTAAGACTCTGTGAATGTATTTTATGCTTCATAAAATGAAAGGCTACAATAAGGTGGAATTGTGTAGCCACTTTTCTGTTTTAACAGTAGTGACAACAATTATTTCAGAGACATCAAATTAATTGGCATTTCACTAACAAAGAGTAGCTATTAAAAGTATAAAATAAATTAGGTCTAGAAACAACAATTCCTGCCAGATGAGAATGACACACATTTGAGTCCCATACGAGTGGTTCCCACTAACCTTCCAGTTCGCTGGAGCTCAGGTCCACTATGTCCTCCATGGGGCTCAGCTTCTCCATGAGCTGCTGTTCCATTCGGCACAGCAGGAATCTTCCTCTTCTCCTGCAGGGAAGTTTTTGTTGGTGCATATTTTGTTGCAATGCCAGACATTAATGACAAAAACTCCTTTTTTTCCTCCGGTAAAGTCATGTGTAGAAGGGCTAAGATGACAGGTTCTGTGAAAATCCATCCAATCCCCTAAAGCTTTTATTCTTCCTCATCACTGAGGAAGACAACAGTTCCTATTTTATAATATGGTTTAACTTGATGAATGATGGGCATTTTTATTTTTTACACCTACCAGTTTTTGGGTGCCCTAGTTGGTGTCGTACATTGATATCTATCTGCAGTTGCAAAGATACACAGAAAATGTCAGTGTAATAGGGCTGGGGTACATACAGCTCACTGGAAATGTGATTGTCTATCATGTCTTAAGGCCCGGATTTAATTTCTACCATAAAAGAAAGAGAAGGAAAAAAAGTATGTATAATTTTCTTTTTTTAAGTATTATTGCCTTTACTCCTCTAGATCATGTCTTTCTAGAAAGGGAAATTTATGCTATAAGTCTTCATGACTCATAAACACAATATTATTACAAAAGGAAGTTTCTTCTTGAACAAAACGCAAATCAACTGAGGTTTTATGTAAGTGTTATATTCCTTCAGATTAATTCCACTTACTTTTGTCACCTACAGAGATATTTGAAATAAATCAGAAAATACTTCCTAAAATTCTACCACTGGTCATATTATTACTTTAAAGTGCTTAAAAGAATAATAAAGAACTTTTAAGTTGCATAATTAAATTTTCTCCTTGACTATCATTCCAAACAAGAATGAGTATGAATGTGAAGCACAAAAGTGATACGTTAGTGTATCGTATGCACAATTATATATGTTTCACACATGACAAAATGTATTTTGTGTGTTAAGCACAATTACAAAAGTTCATTATTTAGTATTTCTACCATTTCTGCAGGTATATGTTAAGATGCACTAGAATAAATCTTAAAGATAAAAGAGAAGATATATTTTAACTGATGAGGGGTTTGTCTTCACAGGTAATTATAAAACATTTATAAAAATGATCTAAGAGTGGCCATCACTACATACTTCCAATTACATGTTATAACTTCTATTGTTCTCAGAAAACGTGATATTATCTGGTCATTTGTGGGATAATAGCCTTTGGATAATTTAACTTTTGCTTTGTAAGTTTAAAGAACCATATGTTGATAAAATAGATAAGCAATTAATATATTAACCATTCTAAAGCACGTGTTTTCTCAAGGAGTAAAATGCATTGAAAAATGTAATGTGAATAATTAATATCAATAAAAATCTTTAAGAACTAGAACAAGTAGAACATTAAGAGGAGATATATGGATCCACCAGGAAAGGGGAAGATCTCCTTAGTAAATTGACAACATGGAAGGGAGGTGGAAGGGGAGTAGGGGGATAAGAAGGGGAGGGAGGAAAAGAACATGAGGGATCCAGAAGGTCAAGTTAGGTGAAGGACAGTGAGGGAGAACAAGGAAAGGGATACCTTGACAGAGGGAGCCATTATGGGATTAGTGAGAAACTAGGTACTAGGAAAATTCTCAGGAATCCATAAAAATAACCCCTGTTAAGAATCGGTACTTTAACTGCCCTTCCCCTGTAATCAGATTGATGACTACCTTAGTTGCCATCATAGACCCTTCATTCAGTAACTGATGGAAGCAGATGCAGAGATCCACAGCTAAGCACTGGACTGAACTCCTGAGTCTAGTCATAGAGAGGGAGGAGCAATATTATGAGCAAAGGGGTCAAGGTCATGACAGGGATACCCACAGAAACAACTGACCCTAGCAAATGGGAGCTCATTGACTCCAGACTGGGGAACCTGCATAAGACAGAATTGGGCCCTCTGAATGTGGCTTAGGCAGTTTGTGGGGCCACTGACAGTGGAACTAGTATTTATCCCCAGTGCATGAACTGGCTCTTTGGACCCATTCCTAAGGAGGAATACCTTGCTCAACCTAGAAACAAGGGGAAGGGCCTTGGTCCTGCCTCAAGTGTTGTGACAGACTTTTTTGACTCCCCATGGGAGGCCTCACCCTCTCTGAGGGGAATGGATAGGAGATGTAGTGGGTAGAAAATAGGAGCAGGAAGAAGGAAAGAGAGGGAACTGAGATTGATACGTAAAATATTTTTTTTTAAAGGAAGAGATAGAACCTACTTTAGTCCTGGCACAAACATGTATTTTGTGTGTGTATGTGTGTGTGTGTGTGTGTGAAAGACTTCTAAGGCTTGTAGAGTATATATTCTCACAGGAAATACAGAAATTTTAAAAAATTAAATATTTAATTCTACAGTATGTAGGAAGAAGGAGATCCATGGAAATGAAAAATGTTTGCACAGAACACCAGTTGACTGAGGTAACTGAGGGAAGGCAAGAGTGGCAATTATAAACTGAGTTTTCAAATAGGCCCTGTGGAAAGGACCACTTAAGAAAACTCGAGGGAGGTGAGAGAAACAGGCATGCTAAATAACTGGAGGATACCAAGGAAGAAAGAAAAGCCAGGGCTATAGACTTGAGGGTCAGAATGCCTGGAAGATTTGAAGATTACCATGAACTAAGAAAAGAGTAGAGATAAAGTTCCACAAGAAAAGATAGGTGATGATATAGAGATTTAATAAGACAGTATTATCTATATGATAATAAGTATATCTCTCTGGCTTTTATTCTCCAGAAAATGAAAAATATTCACAAGGTTTTAAAGAAAAAGCTGATCGAACAAAACATGGAATTACTTTGGCTATGATGTTGAGGAGAGATTCCAGGACACAGAACAAAGCAACCAGTTAGGGAGCTATTTCAGAAATCCATGAGAAAGGTGATAAAAGGTTGAATGAAGGCAGTCACAGGGAGAAATAGTATAAGTATTGATAAATATTGAAGGCAAAGTCAACAGAATTCTCTGGAAGAATGGATATAAGGTATAAGACAAAATAATGGATCGATTAGGCCTGATCAATTATAAAAATGTATTTAGCTATTAACTAAGAATGAAAGATACTATAATTAATTTTGAGGAAAACTCATAGACCTTTAGATATTCCTGGAAACAGATCATATGCTGCTTGTCCTAAAACTGTAATTAAAAAATAGAGAAAGATAAAGAAATGAGACTATATACAATTTGGCTTAAACTTTCAAAATGTTCAGTTTAAATGTCTATCAAATACTTAAATGGAGACAGCAGATAGGAAGATGAATAACACTTGAGTTCAGTTTAGAAAATAAGTTTGGAGTTTTGGAAAAAAAGGTTTAAAATCCTGAGATTTGTTTATATTACTAAGAATATAAGTATAGACAGCAGGAACTGTGATTAGAGAGAAGATGGTTATGGTCAAAGTCGTAGTTTCAACACAAGGAAATCATAGAGAAAATGGAAGAACCAGAAAACAAAAATGATGTAGGAGTTCCTTCTGTGTGCTGTGATTGCTATTAATGAATAAAAAAATTGCCTTGGTCTGTTGATAGGGCAGAACTTAGGTAGATGGAGAAAGCTGGACTGAATGCTGGGAAAAGGAAGGCGGAGAGAGGGACACCATTGATCTGTCCCCAGAGTCAGATATGCCGAATCTTTGCTGGTAAGCCACTGCCATGTGGTGATATACAGATTAATAGAAATGAGTTAAATTAATATAAGAGTTAGCCAATAAGAAGCTAGAGCTAATGGGCCAAGGAATGTTTTATTTAATATAGTTTTTGTGTGGTTATTTTGGGGCTGAGCAGCTAGGAACTAAGTAGCAGCCTCCTCCTACACAAAAACTGGATAGGACTGACCCCAGAGGCTGTAGAAACATCAAAAGACTGTTGTTTAGGACCAAAGCAAAGAAAGTACACCAAAGATAAGGGCATAACAAAGTCTATCAAATGTTGCTATTCCTGAATTAAGTGCAATATAGAGCAATAGGTTAGCACAGATTTTATTCATTGTGCATGGCACTAGTGGAAATAGCTAGTGCATTAAAGTGGAGAGGGAGACATATAATATAGATAACTCCTCTACAACATACAAAATACACAACTGATAATAGTAACAATTTCAAAGCAATTATACATTAAAAGATTGTGGCTTGGAAGTATGCTAATAAAATGATATAAGAGGTCATAGGACTGACATAATGATGAAAGAGAAAGAGCTTTGACAGAGCAAATCCTTCAGTAGATGCTTAGCGTGGGATCTGGCACACAAATGGAATGCTGGCTTCCATCAGCGAGGCAGGGAAGGCTGAGCTGTCAGAGGAACGTGCTGGTCAGAATCCACAGAAAGTGTTTCTGATTGTTTCAAATTTTTAATAAAACTGAGAAAAAGGAACCATGTAGCATGGAGGGTCACAGAGGGCATGTTAAGAATTTGAGAGAGAACAGATGAGAAATGTTCACTTAAAAAGTATGACTAGCCTTGGGAGGGATGGGATGATGAACATGGAGCATGAAGGGCTCATTTGAGCGCTATGATCACTAAGTCAAAGAAGTCATAGTTTCCCTTTCTGTTTTGGCTGCAACAGCGTGGATATATAATAAAATTTGAATCTCCACAGAATTGTGATTTTGACAACCCAAGTACATGACATTAAAAGAACAAAGAAGATGCAGGAACATAGAAGAAAGTGATTATAATGACTGACATAGGAGGATAAAGACAGAATTTCAGACTGATCTCTTGAGATGACAGGTTGTTCCTTTTTTTTATCTGAAAGGGAAAGGTATTAAAAATGCTGTCATCTGTACATTTCAAAAGAATGAAAACAACAGAAATTATTTGATGAGGTTAACATTATTTAAATGAGTGTGAATTCAAGGTGCTTAATATATGCTAATTCATTTTGGTCCCTTAATAAAAGGGAACATAAATCATATGATCTAGTATTTAGATATAGCATGGAGTTTTAAAATACTTGTATAACAAAGAAGTATACAACATATATATAATTCATACTCATTGGATAAAATCTTGCTATCTAATATAATAGTTTTTAACCATGCGTCTATACAAATTTAAGTTAATTACAATCAAAATTTGATTTGTTACAATTGTAATAGCCACATTATTAGCATTTGATAGTAGCTTGGTGATTAGGGGTGTCACTATAGAATGCTTCCTTTGTTAAAGAAATTCTACTAAGCATTTCTGAAACAAAGCATCAGTACTGAGAGGATAAAGCATTTATTTAAGGTCAAACAAACACACATTGACAGAACCTAGACACTAGAATCCCTAATTCAATGTTCTATTTATGTATTACTTTCTCCTAATATTCAGAATTTGCTAGTTCTTATTTTTGCATAAAATAATAGGAAATATAAACCCGCTACTCATCTTGTCTCAAAAATGCTGTTCCTCAAAACCAGAATAATTTAAAATTAATTTACTTGTAACTTTTCAAGATGTTACAGTGTTTTCAAGATGTTACAGTGAATTACAAAGTGTTACTCTCAATATTTTAATAGTTTCATTAAATTTACCCCAATATCATTAGTTAGAGGTTTTTCTATTATTTATAAACCATCATGTTGCCATTTCTAATATCATCAGTGCAGACATGTGCATGTGTGGAGAAATAAGGAAACCCTTACAATCACTCTCAAAGCCACTGTCTTTACTTCAGTTGCAGAGGAACTTAAATTATATGGTTTTAGTTACATAACTACAAAATGTTAGTTGTTAAGGAAAGTAAATAGACTTTAGTAATGGTAGAATGACTTCAAATAAAAACACAAGCCTGAGATATTAATAAGAGGAAATGACATGACCTTTTTAAACATACTCATCATTAAGTAATATATTTGCTTGTTTGCTGACTTTTTGTTTTCTGTTTGTTTGTTTTCGTTTTTGAGACAGGGTTTCTTTGTATATCCCTTGCTATCCTAGAACTCGTCTGTAGATCAGGCTGGCCTCAAACTCACAGAGATCCACCTGCCTCTGCCTTCCAAGTGCTGGAATTAAAAGCGTAAGCCACCACCACTGGACTTCAGTTTGTCAACTTCTAACTGCCCTGAAAATCTAAGTCCAGGATTGGGTCAATAGACATATTTCTCACTTCAGTCAGAACATCAGAGACTCTGTAGGACAAGAGCCTAAGACAATGTGAAGGACATGGGAGGCAGATCCTCCAGGAAGAGAGAGGCAATATGAGAAGAGAGCTTTGCCATCGTTTTCAACACTCACACCCTAGACATTAACACCAATCTTTATTATTTCTTCCGTAATATAGGATAGGTAAGACACATATTTGATTTGCATGCACAGAATTAAAACAATTATACAATACATGGAAGAATATAAGCATAAAGATCATGATGAAAAACTTTCCCCAGTTTCCACTGTGATTACCAGTAATAGGGAGTTTGTACAAAATTCTTCTTCTAATTTTCCTAATCCGTGTCAACTTTCAGAACACTGAAAATAATGGGCTTTATCTCAGGTCATATTTTATGCTTTATTAAATTTAATATTACCCAATGCAATATCTTTTATTTCAGGCCTGAAATATTTCCAGGAACATTAGACCTATTTAGTGACTCATGATCAAAATGCCAAATTTCTCAATGTGTTAGGTCTTAACAAGAACATTTTGTAAATTAATGTTTTTGCTTTCATGGAATAACATAAATAATTTCATACTTTATGGCAAGTTGCATTATTTAGGGACATGAACTTAAAGGAAATCAAAATATTAGAATTTGAAAGAATGTTTTCAGATATACCAACCTGGGAAGGAACATTTTTGGGAGGTTCTATCCGGATACTTGGATCCCATTCTCCAGGAGGGAGAACTGTGACTTGGTCTAGAAACTCATCGATACCTGACACCAAGTCATTGCGGTCTTTAGCTTTGTAAGCAACATCATGAAACACCTGTGGAAGAAAAAGAGTAGCAAATAATAACCTATAAAAGACACCAAAAGAATTAATATAATAAAATGTCCATCTTAGCAAAAGCAACCTACAGATTCAATGCAATGCCCATCAAAATTACAACACTATTGTTCACAGACCTTGAAAGGAAAAATTCAGTTTCATATGGCAACCAAAACACCTAGGATAGCTGAACAAACCTGAATAATCAATGAATCATGTATGTGTGTGTCCAGGAATGGGTATCATCATCCCCGATTTCAAGGTGTATACATAGCTATTATAATAAAAACAGCATGGTATTGACAAAAAACACATTTTTATCAATGGAATTAAAAACATAGACATAGATCCACCTACCCATGGATATACGATTTTTGATTAAAAAAACAGAAATACAAACTATAAAAAATGATAATATTGTCAAAAAATGGAACTGGTCAAACTGGATGGCTTCATGAAGAAGAATCCAAATAGATCCATTTTATCATGCTGTAGAAAACTCAATTCCAAGTGGATCAAAGACCTCATCATAAAACCAGATATACTGAACCTGTTAGAAGAAAAAATGGGGAAACGCCAGACACAAACGATGTAGAAAATGAAGTGTGGTAGGATTCTGGACATAGTGTCTGAGTCTGAAAGGGTTACTTATGGATTGGATGTGGATATGAAACTGAGGAGTCAAGGATGAGTTAAGGGTGTCTTGGGGTTCAGTTCCATACTCAAACTCTTCCATTTGTTTCCCCAGTCTGTCTAAGTTCTTTTGTGATAGACCAATGCCCTGTACAATTGGCCCATTGCCTAAATGGCCTCATTCCTACTAAGCCTTTTTGTTCTAAATGTCCCAAGTGATCCAGACATACTCCCATCTCAAAACCTTTGTCCTTGTTTGTTGTTGGCTCAGAAACGTTCTCTCTTTAAAGTAGGAAGTTCCTCATGCCACCTCTAGCTCCCTTCACTGATCTTGTATAATAACTTCTATGTTACTCCATCTTTCAACTATTTGGTCAACAAATGAAAAAGCTTTTGTCCATATTTTTATCCACCTTCTGTACAAGTGCTGATATGCAGATCACATACAATAAATATCTGAATAAATTAGCAATTCTCCATCTCCTCCCTCCAACTCCTTCTTCGTGTTCCTCTCAAATTCACAGCCCCCTTTTAAAGATTATTATTGTTACATATATAAATATATAAATTAATAAATATATTAATATAATATGCTGAGTCTATTTTGTGTTCCCTGTGTGTACATTTTCAGGATTGACCACTTGGTATTAGATAGCTAAAGTCAGCCCTGAGAAAGACTATCTCTCTCTCTCTCCCTTTCTCTCTCTCATATATACATACATACATACACACACACACACACACACACACACACACACACACACACATATATCTTTCTCTTTCTCATTTTCTCTCTCTGTATCTCTCTCTCTCTTTCTCTCTCCCTCTCCAGATAGTTGTTGCTAGCTGTTGTTTGCCAAAGGATAGTGGCCCCTAAGATTACCATCCTTCATGTTAGCATGTTTATTGGTGTTCTAGTTCATATCTTGTTTGACCAGATATGTTGTTATGGTATCAGGGGTTCAGGTTTTTAATATCTTAAATTTTTGAGACTTAACATCTCCCCATGAAAGTTTTTTATAATTCAAAATAGAAATGTACATTTTTTCTTTTACAAAGAAATATATAATGGAGATCAGCAAAATCCATCTACAGTTCCATTAATAGTTTTAAAATCACAAAGTTAGGAATATCTATCTATAGATATTTAGATATCTAGATGTCTCTCTCTATATATATAAATAGGTAGATATAGATATAAATGTAGATATATCAGGTAATTGCAGAGAGTGTGCAGAGTTTTCCTAGCTTTTTTGGTGTTATATATCCTATGCATCTTAACTACTACTTTTCATTTAGACAGCTAAGTAACTTTCCCCCCAAATTTTCTATGCTATTAACATATAAGTCATGCTTACAGAGTAGTACAAAATATAAATGCTTAACAATTTTTATGACCATATCAGCTTTAAAAAATTATTATTCTTGGCTTTACTTTATCCTTTTGGGTAAATTTTTTCAAGGAAAGTTGGTAGTGAAAACTTGGGAAAATTGGATCCAATACAGAAAAATATGATTTCCAGAAAACTGTCATGAAAGGGACTTCTAAACCTAGGTATATCTTGAGAGAATATTCCTTAGAAACATGAATAAATACCTCATCTGTCATTAAGGTTGCAATTGATCTGCCGATCTCATGATATTGTTGACCCTTTCCAAGGGGTCCCAGAAGAATGAACAGAAATCTGTAATGAAGAAGAAAAAAACTCAAGCTATAAATGTAACAATAATCTAAGTAGAGCATAATCACCAATCTCAATGGAATCAAACAGGGTTTTGATGTAAAAATTTGCATAAGTTCTTACAATTCATTATGATTTAGAAATGTTTTATAGTTGAGACTTCTATATAAAATCATCAGGCAATGAGAATATTAGGGTGTTTTTAACCCCAGGGTTTCTGCATATAACTGTCTACACAGCCTATACATTTGTGACTAGGAATTATAAAGATTGTACATTCTTAGAGGAGGATGAGAGGAAAATTAAATCTTTCTGAATAGGAAGCAGGAAAGTTCACAAGTACACAAAATGAAGATCACTCAAGTGGAAGAAGAGCAATAAAGTATTATACATTAAGGGAGAACACATTATTAACATCCAGTCACTGTACACACATTCTGATTGAACATAAAACTGCTATGACTTAATAATTAGCTAGGCAGAAGGAAAGGAAAAGGTGTGAAAATTAAAGAGTGCCATGTATTTTGCAATAGCATTCTGTAGTGTTCATGTGTTAAATGGTTTACAGTGTTAAAGACAACTCTAGCAGGTATAGTTCTTAGCTGTAAGCTCTAGATATTATATAGTTTCATACGAAGCATCTATTAGACAATCTTAGAGGTTATATGCAACATTAATTTTCTATCAGTTATAATTGAACCCAAATCAAATTCAACTCTCTGTGTGTGTGTACCCGCAGTTAATATATAAAAAGCAAAAATAGTTGAATGTGGTGGCAGAAGCTTTTATCAGCTATAATGCTGATAAAATGCTGAGATGATTTCTAACCTGTGTGTATCTTGATCATTTTAAGGTTTCTACTGCAGGTGTTATAATGTCCTAAAAGATTAATTTTCTGACATATCTACTGTATGTTGCTTGATAATCATGGCATGCCCCTGATTATAGTTCTGGTTCCCAGATAGTTTTCTTTATTCTGTTTATCTAATCTTCTTTTATTTTTTTACCTTTCCTAAATAAATATCCCTCTGTATGCTGTGAATACCATTGGTTAATAAAGAAACTGCTTCGATACATTGCAGAACAGGGCAGAAAGAGTTACATGGGGGAAAACTAAATGGAATGCTGGGAGAGAGAAGGCAGAGTCAAAGAGAAGCCATGAAGCACCAGAGACAGACATTCTGAAACTTTGGTGGTAAGCCACAGCCTTGTGGCAATACACAGATTAATATAAATGAGTTAAATTAAGATGTAAGAGTTAGTCAATAAGAAGCTAGAGCTAATGGGCTAAGCAGTGTTTTAATTAATACAGTTTCTGTGTAATTATTTTGGGTCTGAACTGCCGAGCAGACAGAAGGCCCAAGCAGCCTTCCTACAACAATATCCCAGTCTTTTGAATCTCTCCCTACATAGTGGCTCGATTGTGCCCCCAATATTTTCTTCATTGTCTCTACATACACTTTTCTGTGTCAGTATGGATGAGATCACCTAAGCCTGACACATCTCAAAGTGAGGGTATATAACCCTATTATGGCTATACTCTACTCCTGAGAATTCTTCTTCTTCTTCTTCTTTTTTTTTTTTTTTTTTTTTTTTTTTTTTGAAATACAAGCAAGCAGCTTGTATTTAAGCAGCCCTCATTTACTTGTAGGTCTCCAGATACCTTCCTCAGTGGTGAAATTCACCAAGGCCAGCTGGACTGTGACTGAAAAAGCTTGGGATAGGGCCGGACTCTCTGAACATGGCGAACAATGAGGGCTGATGAGAAGCCAAGGACAATGGCACAGGGTTTTGATCCTACTTAATGTGCTGGCTTTGTGGGAGCCTAGCCAGTTTGGATGTTCACCTTCCTAGACATGGAGGGAGGGGGAGGACCTAGGACTTACCACAGGGCAGGGAACCCTGACTGCTCTTTGGACTGGAGAGGGACTGGGAGAGGAGTGGGGGGAGGGGGAGAAGGGTGGAAGGAGGGAGAGAAGGGTGGGGGAGGGGGAGGGAAATGGGAGGCTGGGAGGAGGCGGAAACTTGGTTTTTTTTTCCTTTTCTCAATAAAAAAAAAGAAAAAAAAGAATATCTAACTGAATGGGAATTTGAAACTGCTACAGTTTCTACTGCTCTACAATTAGTAAACACGACACATGAAATCAGAACCCCAGATTTTCAGAAACTATTGTTTGTTTTGTTTTTTGAGACAGAGTTTCCTCTATAGTGTTAGCTCTCCTAGAACTCTCTTTGTAGACCGTGCTGGCCTCAAACTCACAGTGATCAGCCTACTTCTGCCTCCCAAGGCTTTCTTTTTTTTTCTTTTTGGCCACAAGCAGCTCCCTAGTCATGACACAGTGACTTAGTTTTGAATGTTCTGCCTAGCTTAGCCTCATTTCTGGTTAGATCTTTTCATTTAAGTTAACCTGTTTCTCTATCAACCTTTTGCCTCAGTGCTTCTTACTTTTGATTTCCTTGTATATATTTTACTTTCACTGCTTCTCATGTCTGTTGGCTGGAGGATACCTGGCTTTTGGCCCTAGGCCTGCCCCCTCATTCTCTCCTTTCTTCTCTTTCTCCTACTCTTCTCCTCTCATTCCTTTTCCAAGCCTAGAGCAGGATTCCTGTTCTCTCTGCCTGCCAACCTGGCCTATCCCTCTCCTGCCTAGCTATTGGCTCTTCAGCTTATTATTAGACCAGTCAGGTTCCTTAGGCAGGCAAGGTGAAACAAATGCAACACATCTTTACATAATTAAACAAATGCAGCAGAAACAAAACTAACACACCTTTACAGAAGAATTAAAATAACATTTCACAGCATAAGCAAATGTAACACATCTTTGCTTAGTTAAAAGAAAATTCTATAACAGGTGTGTACCACCACTGGCTGGAATCCAGAATATTTAATAATATGTAGTTTACATGTAGAAAAATGCAGCCTTATCAATACTGTATGCTATTTTAATATACTTAGTTTACCTCCCCATTTTTAATTGAAAGCTGATATGTACATCAGTATCCTCCAAATGGGATAAATAGAAATTTCTTCCATAACCTTAATAGTGACCAGGTTTCTTCTCAGCCCACGCAGACATGTGCTCCAACTGAAGACCTTACAGAGTCCTCACCCAAAGGGTCCTTATGAATGAGGCTTCCCTTACTTCTATGATTCCCTATAGCCTGGATATCTTATCTGCAACCAAATAGTGGAGGAATTTGTGTTATGTTTTGAGTTCTAGTCAGAGGTTCCCAGAAGAAAACATATTCTCTAAACCCACTTTGCCTGGGCAGCTGCACTTCTCAGCACCTTCCGTTTCTGTAAGCAGACAGGCTCTGCCATGGTTAAGCCAAGGCGATGTGTGCATAGGAATCAGGTTAAATAGTCTCCAGAGAAAAGGAAACAAGCTTCCTAGATAAAGCAGGAAGAGTCTAACATGCTAAAGTCAATATTCTCCTCTTTGTTTTCTTTTCTCATAGTTTTACCCATGAACACCCTTGTATCTACAAAGCAGGAATCAACAATAAGAGAATTCATTTTTAATTACCTTTATCTTTTAGTTTCAGTGCATCCTTAGGTAGTAGAAAACAAGTTCAGGTAATAAATTTAAACTTGGCCTTTTGACCAGAATCAACCATGTTCATTGGATGACCACCAATGATTCTTCAAACCCTGAGAGTGGAGACCGAATGACCTAGTACTGAAGCATGAAACACTAGATTCCAATCAGGCATTTCCATAGATGTTGAAGGCCTAACCCAACAAAATAAGTCTTCTATGATTCTCTCCAGTGGGACTACATGCTTAGATCCTCTTCTTAAACATACAGTTCAATATAATCTTTGAAAAACTGTAGAACAGCTGTAAAATAGACCTGAATTCTACTGATGAGAAGCACGAAATATGAAGTTCCAGAAGGAGACGGGAAGGTCACAGTAGTTTTTAAAGCACCCCTCCCACGTTTATAAGCAATAGACAACAGGTTTATGGATAATAAATTCATTTCTAGTAAAGGATTTGTCAGAAAACTTTATTAAAAAATTACCATTTCCTAAGATAAATTATTCCATAAGCATAAAAATTCCTTGGATACTTTTACCTGCTTGGGATTGGAACTTCAGCCAGGCCTTGGAGTAGGACAGCTGGAGACAACCTGACGAAGGCGACGACAGTTCTGTCCAGGAACTCCAGCTCTCCCACCAAGATGTTTGAAGCCTCAGCACCCGGAGGAATCTTCTTCATAAAATGCAGATCAACCTGAGAGCATCACAAGTAAATGCTTTAATCATGTTTAAGTATAATGTCAACAAATTTAATATTTTATAACAGATGAATTTTATATTCAATATATAGCTACTTTAAAATAAATATATTCTTATAGTATAATATAACTTTAATATTTGTTTTCATTCTAAATTCTAAATTGTGTTATGTTTTTCATATTGTACAGTTGGCCTGAGAAATTCTTCAGTTGAAGTTGTTCATACAACTGAGACATGACAGAATAAAGAAAAAAAATGGGTTAAAAGAATAGCATTTTAAATGACTGTAGATCCATAGTTGAATTTCTACTATGAAATGTCTGTGATTTAAATGAATGAAGATAAAACAAAAGTACCACTAAAAAGAAACACTAAGAGGAAAGGGTGATGTCTGAAAAATGCATGTAGAAGAGCCTTTAAAAACATATCATTTTTATGCATGGGGCTTCAATGGAAATGAAACAGTGGCTTTAAAGTAAAATCTGTAAGGCCTATTTCTTGTTTCTAACTCATTTGAGTTGCTTTTTATGGAATGCTGTTTTTTAGGGACTAGGAGTTTATCTGCCCTAGCAATTGGTTTTATGCAATTATGCTAATGAAAAGGGGACCAGAATCAAAGTGGGAATAATGAGAGAGAGAGAGAGAGAGAGAGAGAGAGAGAGAGAGAGAGCAAGAGAGAATGAGTGAGCTCTGCCATATAGCAATGAGGCCGGGAAGACATTTATAGAAAGATAATTAGTTTGAAGGCTTAAAAATTAGAAAATACTATTCAAAGAAGTTTTAAATCAATAAAACGTTTTAACGTACCCTGTATGCACACAAGTAACATTATACAGATTGAGCAGCCTATATTTCACACATATATGCATTTTAATAAAATTTAATGAAAAAAGAGGACATGAATCTGGAAGACAACAAGAAAGGTTATATGGGAGGGTTTGGTGGAGGGAAAGAAAAAGGAGAAACAACATAGTTACATTATAATCTCAAAATAAAAGAATTTAAAAAGCACCTTATAAATCCATAGCTATAGTCTAATGATTATGTTTAAAATGTTTTTCAAAAAAGGCATTTGTACAGCTATTTAAAGATACCTGATAAGCTATATGTAAAACACAGAAATACAGCTATATTTAGCTATATTTAATTAAAAGGATTCCATATAATAGCAGTTTATATAACTCTAATAGCAGAGCATTTGCCTAGCATGTGGTCAGCTCTACATAACCTCTCCAGCACTGAAAAACAAGGCCACAACTAAAAATAAGGATTTGCGGCATTCCACCAATAGTATAAGTGATACTTTATCTTAAAGAATCATTTACAAAATTAAAGTTTGCATAGAAAGAATATTTCACAAATATTATAAGCTACGTGCTCCACATTTTTCTCTATAAATATACACCAATATAAATGTATAAATTCTTCTCCTATGTATAATGAATATTGCATGCTACGTATTTTGCTTTTGTAGAATCTAACCTTTTAATTCGTAGAAAGCAAGTCTCATTCACAGTCTTATTGTGATATTTAAAATGCTTTAAATTAGTAATGTCTGCATTTTGCCATAATGGGAAAGATTCCAGGAAAAGGATCAAGGTTTGCTATATACTGTATGTGTTGGGATATGCTGTTGTTGTTGTGATTTATAGGACGTTGTTTATGTGGGTGTTAAAAATCTGAATGCTACACTTCATGTTTAGCCTCCATCTAACCACTCCCACTCCTACCTCTGTGAGAAATATGCAACAACTTTTTAACAAAATGTTCAAAGTTTAAAAAAATAACTAAATTTAATCAACATGTAGAAAAATCTATGACAAACAGAACAAAACTTTAAAAGATGGCATAACTTTTTACAAAGACCAATAAGCAGGTGAGTTGGCTCAGGCACTTGCTGGCAAATCTAAGACCTGAGTTTGATCCTTGCATCCAAATGGAAGAAGATAACTGACTCCTGCATACTATCCTCTACTCCTCCCATAAACACTGTAGCACACAAGCACCCTCACACGCACACGAGTGCTCACACGTGCACACAGGCATGCACATACAAAGACACGGATGCAATGCCAATATTAACATAAAAATAAAAACAGATAATTTGTAATTAATAGGAAATTTATTGGTAATGCTTGAAGTATAAATTCTGCCTAGAAGACTTTTTTCAAATTTATTTTTTTAACTCAACCAATATCAAAGTCTTTGCTATTAAAGTCTGTACCTCAGAGAAGAGGCAAAAATAGAATTAACTGCTTTAAAGTGAAATTCAGTTGAGTCAAGGATTGCATAGCATATTAAAGAAGTTTAATTAACAAAAATGTGACCATTATATATGATTTTAAATCACATAAACCAAACATATAACTGATATTTATTACCTAGAAGAAGTTATGCAGAATCTGATTTCAATATCAGCAAAATTTTCTTTTTATTTTAAATATAATAAATTACAGTCACGTGTCTTGGGTCAATCATTGTATTGCAATCATTATTTTATATTATTCTGCACTACATGGATATTTATGGAAGGTATTAGATTTTATAATGCATTAATCATATTTATATTTTCAAATTAAATTATACCTAGAATAATTCTATATTATTATATTAGTTCACAATTCATAAATAATCTCATTTAGCAATATTCCTTCTTCTTATTAAAACAAAAAACTGTATTTAAGAACCACAAATTCAATCGTGTATTAATTTATAGTTGCATAAAGAGTATTTGAGGGTCTAGGTTACAATACTTAAACATAAAGCAAAGAAAACCAGCCTACAAATCACAACCCCAGAGAACCTAGACAGTAATGAAGACCCAAGAGAGACATATATGGATCTAATCTACATGGGAAGTAGCAAAAGACAAGATCTCTTGAATAAATTGGGAGCATGGATACAGACCATGAAGGGGAGAGAAGAGAAAGGCAGGGAGGGGAGCAGAGAAAAATGTATAGCTCAACAAAATCAACAAAAAACAAAACAAAAAAACCCAATACCTTCCTAAGACACTCCCATAGTGGATTCAGACACTTGAAATGGACATAGAAAAATCCTGAAAGTTTCAAGTGCTTTGAAGAGAACTTTCAGGGAATCAAGCTACAATTTGGGAGTTGTAGATTTATACCATATTTCTAGACTCTATGGTCCCTACTACTATACCATGAAGGGAAAGAAGCTTGATTTTAGTTATTTGGGACTAAACCATTGATGAAAATAGTTCATCTCTAGGCAACTAGATAAAAGAGAAGACCATGGTGGGGCTGGAAATGCTCAGCCAAGGCACACACCTAGAGCTGAAAGAAACGGAGGTGGAAATAAAGAGAAAGCACTGAGAAGTCAATGATAATGACACCGGGTTTTGATTCTACTGCATGTACTGGCTTTTTGGGAGCCTACTCTGTTTGGATGCTCACCTTCCTAGACCTGGATGGAGCGGGGAGGGCCTTGGACTTCCCACAGGGCCGGGCACCCTGACTTCTCTTAGGACTGGAGAGCGAGGGTGGCAGGAGTGGGGGGAGTGAGAGGGAAATGGGAGGATGGGAGGAGGTGAAAATTTTTAACAAATAAACAAATAAAAGCTATTACTAAAAGCACGATAGTTAATGAGGGTTCATTCGAGGCAAATGGTATCTGACCCTGCAGTCTGGAGCAGGTGGCAGTGTAAGGTCTCTAGGACTCCGTTTTTTGCACTAAACGATATGACTAAAGTTTCTTACTCCCAATATGCTTCATGCACAGCACAAAGATGCAAAAAGGAGAGGTTCTTTCCAGGTAGGGTAATTATGGGACACTTCTTTAGGACCGTTTGAAATACAAGAATCACTGTTAACTTAAAAGAGCCATTTCAAGGAGGCGAGCAGAGAAAAATGTAGAGTGCAATAAAAATCAATAAAAAAAGAAAAAGAAAAAAGAGCCATTTCTATTGTGTTCAAAGCAAAACAAAAAAAGAGGTTTATATTATTTAGAAACACCTGCTTTTTGAAGGCATAGTGGAAAGAGCCATACTCTGACATAACAGATTATGTTAACTGAATAAACCTGGAGGGCCTAAACACTGTAGAGGCTAAAGATGCGTAGATTGGTAGAACGCAGGATCAACTTACATAAAGTGAAAAGGGCCTTTGTAATATCTCAATTTTTGAGTGAGATTTAGGATATATACAACATTAATGAAAATACTGAAATGGACACAGTAATGTGGAGATTAAGCTGAACTTTAGAAAATCCACCAGCAAACTGAAATCATTAGGTTAAAAACATCTTAACTTGCACCTTCAGAATCTGGCACTAAGAATAGCTTCCATAGTGATGGATCAATGCTTTCCAAATCCTAATTCTCTGCTCCTCCAGGTTATAAAACTAGGAATGCTTCCTGTTTTGTTTTATTGGTCTAAAACTAGAGACTAAACAATTTTGAATCTTATAAGATTCCTTCAAAAAACATCTTTCTCAAGTGTTGTTAAAGGCACTGAAGATGCAGCGGCGGCCAGCATGTTAAGTGTGGTCTGAAATTTTTGTGACACTTCCATTCACACTCTTAACGCAGTGGTCACTTTATGTTCAGTCTGACAAACCACAATACCATCGAACCTCTACAACAAAACAATAAGCACACATTATTCTTATTTTAGGCAATGGTAATGTTGCAATGTAGAGAGCTTCTTCAAAAGCCATAAAAGATAGATGCTAGACACACAGCTTTCCACAGGCGTGTTCTTTCTGATGAACAAAAGACAGAGGGCTGCAGATGGCTGGCCTAAACTTCCCCATTAAATGGGCCAGTAAATGAAAATGTGATGATGAAAGAAAGGATTAAATGAGAAAAAAACCTAGTTCTGCCATTTCTATGGTTCCATTTGCCAGGGGATCCTAGGGATGAGATTATTGTCCTGTCTAATTGGCAATCTCCATTTCTCTTTAAAGGTGATGCATTATTTTTGAAGGTCATGAAGATAGGCTACCAAACACTCCAAAATAACATGGATATATGAAATTCAATGTATAAGTTCTTAATATTAAAAGTAATTAATTTCAAGGATGATCTACATATTTTAAACTCACTGTTTTTGAAAAATGTCAACTATTCCATTGTTATAAGACAGTCAAGTTTTATGTCATCACTTTTAAGATTGATATTATTTTGAACTAAGAACAGAAAAAATCAAATTTATGGAAGTTTGTGACAGCTTTATTATAACTTACAGATGAATGATGATATAATGCTTTAAAAATATAATTCTTAGAGTGGCAGATGGAATACATTTAAACTATTTTAATATTTCAATTACATGCCTCCATACAGTGAGATGAGCTTTGAACTACTGTAGAAATAGAGCCCAAATATGCCCTCACCTCTCTCTCTTGCTGGTGTGGAGGTCCTTTTTCATGCCTTTGTTTCATCCCACATGGACTAGTATGCCCCTTTTGCTGGCCTCCCAGTCCCTGCACGCATAATTAACAGACTTAAGCTGGTACATCATGCTTCCACAATTCTCCACCAGGCACCATGGCAAAGGCATGCACATAGCTAGCCTAGCTCATGTACGCATGTCCCAGGGATGCTAAAACAGGTCCAAGGTGCTCATTGCCATTACTTTTTCAGAACTTTGATGTAGATTACTTCCTCAGACCAAAATCCATTCCCACTTCCCTTCCCTATTGCTAATGCCGAGGGCTTTACCAAAGCAATACTTCTTTATCAGCCACTCAGAGAAAATCGTCCAATTTTAGATGATTGATTTTAGACCAATATTGGAGCTTCTCTGTTCTATTCAGCTGTTACATAGCCACAGCCACTGTAGCACATACACAAGCCAGAAGTGCATAACCAAGAATCCCTTCATTTCAGTAACTCATTATTTTCTTAGTATAAATCCAAATGAATTATTTTATTTAGATAATACCAAACTAGAAGTAGCTCTCAACATAATTAGCCCTTAGGCTTGTTTTTATTCAAATTCTGTTATTTTACCTTCTAGGGTATCCTTACACTGACTTCTCATTATACAGTAATGGTAAAGATTTATATCAGATAACTTTTTTCTATATAATAGGAATTTTTGAGGGGGGACATCTAAAAATTATTTTAAAGCAACAGATTATGCTCTCTATGAAGTCCAATTGTCCTTTTTACTTCAAGAGATACACACTACAAGTGGCTGAATCCAAACTATGATTCATAAAACTTACACATCTGTGTTCTCACATAAGCAAAGCCCTGCATGTGAGCCGAACGCTAATGTTGTCTATAACAATTTAAAGGTTTGGCTAATAACCCAAATAAAGGCATGCAGATGCCTGTGTCAACAGGTAAGAAATTCTACTAGCAATTTAGCCACTTCCTTAGGTGAAATAAAGAAAGACTTACCTTGCTGAAGTCAACAGTGCTGTTTTCCCTGCTCACGTCATTTTTATTCTCGGCACAGGCTGGAGCAGACTGAGGAGAAACAACCTGACCTGCTGAAAGAGATTGTTATTACAGAATACAAACAATTACTTACACAGCTCTAGGCAGACTGGGTGAAAGATGAACTTCAATTTAACTAAACTAAGTCGAATTTTTTAATAAGCTTGTGATGTAAGCATGAATGTTCAGTTAAACAGAACTATATCAATGTAGAGATTATCAGTTACAGATAGAAATGGGAGAAGTCAATCAAGAATATTTAAGTCAATTATCAATTTAAAACTCTAAATGATTATTCTCTTTGAAGAGAAGCTGCCTTCAAAACATAATTAAATTTAACCATAAAGTTCATTTATTTCTAAATATCAATTAAAACCAATTGCACATATTAAAAAAGGCATAACCTCCAAGCTCTGAAGAATTTTTGACAATACCAGAAAAGATAAATATCAGTAACTGCCCAGCATACTTTTAGGTTCTATTATGTACTTTAGCAAAATCACTATGTACTTTAGCAATAAAATTTAGAGGTGGAACTTATTAGAAATATGAGATCTTGTGACTATAATTATCCACTCATCTGCTATTAAGATCGCTAGACTAGAGTTGTACAGCTTCCCACGAGCATTATTGAAAATATGAATACGCTGTAGTTCTCCATCCTCGAATGAAAGGTGAGGTTAGTTATCTGGATAACCAAGCTGGGAATGTGACAATAACTAGAAAACATAATGCCCGCCATTCACTATGCAGCAGTCCTTACAAGCACAAATCCTTTGAAATCTGCCCAGAGTTAGCAATTAAATAATAAGTAGCCTGGTTTATTAATTTCCCCTGCCTATCCTGAGCCCATCTCCACTTGTTACTTTCACTGTGAAACGAGTAATAAAAATTCAATGTTGAAGCCTTTACTATGTTTACATTCTTCTCAACGGCTTCAAAATCCCTTTTCCTTTCACTGCTCTCAAGCATGAGAAGTACTCTTTGTGCCTAACTTCTCTCTCTCCATGCTGAAGTCTCAGTTTTATTCAGAATTCACCTTTATTCTCAAACTTTCCGATTGCTACAAACTCTAAACTTCTCTTAATTCCTTTAAATAGTTACAGAAAAAAAATCAATTTTTCCCTGATCATCAAGTATGATTAAAAACAAAATTATTTATTTTAAATACTATAATCTTACTGCTTATACTAGTAACCTGTCAGTAAAATATCATCCTTTCATAGATAACAATTTCTGGATTAAAATAACTTTGTCAGAAAGTAATAGATTTAATTTTCTTCTAACATTTAACATTTTTCTGCTTCCATCAAACACAGAAAAACAATATATGTTGTAAAGATAAAGACAAAGTGACATCTTAAAGAAAATTCACCTCAAACCACAGCCACAGAATCTGACTTTTGAATACAGAACTCAAGGCAGTGTGCATCCTTCAGAGGAAGTCAGGTGAGCTTTCCATTCTCCCATCTCTACCTGCAATGTGTAGCTACAACTGAACTGTTCATCAGCAGCCGTTCAATTCACCATTCTCAAAATAATAACTGTTTTTATAAAAGCCTTTTACATAATGCATTTGTGCTACTAACAGATGTCTTCAATCACCAGTTTCACGACATTTCTCCATATTTTCATGAGTTAGAGCATTAAATATATTTAAAACTAAATTTATTAAACATTTTGTAAAATAGAGAGATAAGACTCAAGATATAGAAAAAATAAAGATAGATGTTTTCTTATAATAATTTTTGTCATATAGTCAGAAACTACATGAAATATCAATTGCTTAAAACTGTTAGAAAACACATATCAAAAGAGTAAAGCCAATGCAAAATCAACTTTGATGAGATAATCAGATAGCAAATATGCTACAACTTGTAATTTCAAAAATCCAGTTGCTGTTTTTATTCATATGTTTCAGGAACAATATTTCATAAATTACATTCAGGTTATGAACTACATTTAAACATTGACACTTACATTTTATTTTGTAAGTATTTGTGATTTCTAATGTGTTGCTATTACATGATAATTGTAATAGCCACATTTGGATATTTACAGTTCTATGCTATTCTTATTTTAAAATTAAAAATTATAAAATATTACCTTTCAAAGCTGATAGTGAGGAAGTGAATTAGAAACTACTTCTCTGAATATTTTAAATGATATTAATAGTGACCTAGTTCTGGATATCAAGCAGGATGCGTGTTAGATGGCAGTAAGGACATGCTATTTCCAGAGCACCGACATGTCTAGAAAATGTGTACTATAGTACAGATATCTTCTGATATAGGTACAGAAGCCCCAGTATATGTATCTTCTATACTTTAGAATGATACATTAATTTATCTGTCACTCTCAAAGTCCTTCAAAGTTTAACTATCATTTAAAATTGTAATGTTACTTCTAAAGTATACAGTGAATAATTAATGTAAAATAATATAAACAAAGTAATTTTGATAACTTTGCAGGGTACTGAGAATCTGTAGGTATCATTTAAGACTTAAGCTTAAAAAGCTTTGCTTAAGCTATTTAGGAAAATTACAGATTTCAGGTGAAACCTATACTGTTTGTTATATACATAAAGCTAAAATGCATGCTTTGCAATAGTCCATAGAACTACTAGATTCCCCAGACTGTAAAATAGCTTTCATAAATTTGTAGTGCACTATATTTTTTTTTTTTGCTTAAAACTTATTGAATTCAACAGTCACCACCTTTCAGAAGATTATGGGCTTAATTTCCAAAAGGCATTTCATGAACTCAAATACTATCACATAAAATGAATAAATAAATTGAGGGAAGGGCATCTCTAATATGATGGCTGATTGACTTCTGTGATGAAAAAATGTCATTCATACAATAACAGTTCTCAGGCATAGTGACTGCTTTCTAATGGAAGAGAGAAGAATTTGCAAGAATATTTTCCTCTCTGGGGGAAACAAGTCAGAAATCAGCACTCGGGTACTGGAAACTTTGCAAGTGCTGCTGGCTTGTGAGAAGTCTCTAGTTACTTTAACACTATGCTTACAAACGAATATTTGCCCGTCTCCTTCTAATTCCTCCCCTTGTCCACTGCCCGTTGTCCATATGGAAACTTACTGTAATCAATGGCATCACAAAGTTGGATAGCCTTTACTAGTATAGTATGTAAATCTCAAGGCATTAAGATACCACGATGAAACAGATATAAACTCACTATTCTTACTATAGTTCATGAAAATTATTCAAAGCTTGATGAAATATCATTATCACTAATGTAAACTGATGTCTATGACTTTTGAAGTGTAAATACTTGAGAAATCTAACATCATCTTTTCTATTCAATATTCATTTTTAATTCATTTACATTACTTATTTACCTGTTAAAATATGGTTATATATTTTAATAAAAATCTAATTTGTTTCATATATATGAGTTAAAGTGTATAGTGTATAGCATTTATATTAGCACCTGTTTGATTTTCTTTGAATTGTATTTGAGTCTTTACATACAGTTCTCTCATATATGTAAACTGTGTGCATGAACGATATAAAAGCAGTTTCAAAATTTTTATCTGGTTTAATTCAAATCATTAAATAATTTATTACCGACATGTATCATTATTTGCTACTGGTTAATCCAGTCTAAATCACATGTACTAGAAGGAAACTGGGATGAAGACATGGAAGTACAGTACTATTATCCTAGAGTCCAAGCTGGTTTACACTACCTCAGAACCTTCAACGCATTTAGAGTACCCAAAGGGTAGGAGATGAGGGAGGTACAGAGATGAGATGAGCCTGTTAGAGACAGACACAAGACAGAGCAAAATGAAGAAATATAGAGATGAATGACAAAGTTACATACATGTGCAGTAATACACTTATTTATGGAAATAGAAAACATGGAGAAAGAAAGATAAATATTTAGAAAATTATGCCTAGGTGAGATACATTTCAAAAACAGAAAGAGTATGCATGCAATTAAAATTGTTAAAAACTGTTATGTCTGGAAATAATTAGTTTCAAATGAAAAATTAAAATCTTAAATATGTTATCTTAGAAATATATTTGCTCTTAAAAACCAATTTTCCATAGCCCAATGATAACACAGCCTTTAAACAGGCACATAAATTGTGTATAATTAACATAATTTTAATTTTCTTTTAACATTTTTCATATATTGGAATTTCTTAATGTGCTATGTGTCCAGCGATACTAAGAAGCAATATTCTAGCTTTCTCTTTCAATGTAGACCATTATGATGGATAAATATTACATGCTCTCTTATTTATGATAATACAATATTAAAAAAGAATTTCTAAACATAAAGACCTCATGCATCTGGAAATAAAAGTACAGCATTATAATAAAAGTTAATTTAAGGTAATAAAACAAAGAAACATCATTAACATAGGAGCTGCAATCTACCCAGGTCAAAATCAAAATATTCAACATATACCCCATCCTTCTAAATCTAAATGTTCTCCACTTAAGACTTTGAACAGTAATTTAGAGAAATTAATAGAAGCCCTGCAACCCTTTCAGATTTTGCAGCCAGAAAACCTGCAACTGGAAAGTGTTCTAACTAGGAGGGAGGGAAGATGTGGAAGCAAAAGAAGAAGAGCTAGAAATCAATAGTAATGATGGAGGAATGAGATACCCCATACTACAGAAGCTATGAGGCCCAAGAATTATCAAAAACATGAAATTAGGAAAATAACATTATTTTACAATAGAATTGCAATATGAATTTCTCCACGTTAAGAAAATGCCTGATCTAAATAATAATATAAGCATTAATTTATTTTGATTTATTGATCACCTAACCAAGTCACATTTGTGTTTGAAAAAATATTTCTAGATTCAAGGAATGACTTGAATAGTATGGATAGTTTTCATTTCAGTACATTTTACAGGGTTCTAATGTCAAAGTAGATACTATTTTCTATTATTTTTGCAATTGTTTTGCCAAATGTAACTGTCACGTTTTATTGAAACATCGGAATCAGTCATTTTAATTCTCACAGTTTTGATGCTTAATGAAAAGTGAAAGTTAAACACAGCATGGTGGCATTAAAAATGCATGGTGAATCCATAGCATCCTGCATCTTAGCCCTGAGGAGAATGTGCAGAACACCAACAATATTTACATATATATGTAATGTGTACATATATATCAGCGTATTTGTAGGTGAGATTGACAAATTATCATAAACGACTAAGAAAAAAATACAAACAGAAAGCATATACTGGGAAGGAGAAGAGAAAATAATATGCTATTTTGTTGATGCAATATATGAAACATGGAAGACCTCCATTTGAAATGCAGTGTCTAGATACTTAACCTTTGAGAGAACAAGTGAGCTGGCATACCCCAAGAACAATTCAATAAAGGAAACAGAAACATATTCTAGGTGTTTTTAGACTTCTTTGGGCAAATATTGCTTTGTTTTTTAGTGCATTTCAATTTTTAACCCTAAATCAGAAACACATTATACAAAGGTAGAGAACTTATTTCTATATCTTTGCCTCTTTTGTAGTTTAAAATACAAACATGTTCTATTGTCAAGTATTTTAGAAAGCCCCCTATTGATTTTAACTTTATAACCTTAAAAGAGGAGAAGTCAATCCTTCTGAGTAAAACATTTTGCTGAAGAGACTTAAAAAAAAAAAAAGATATTGCATTTAGCTCTTTGGACATTAAAACTCCATTAAATCTCTTTTCAACATAAAAATTAAGTCTCTAATCATGTTTTGAAACAGAATGTCATTTCTATATTTATGCTTATAGATTCCAATTTCTTTGTTTATCTCAAGTTTGTCAGTGTACAGGGTTCACGAGTAGATTGAGAACCTTAGTAGTAAAGGTCTTTCGCGCGTTCTTTCGCTTGTGGGTAGGAGCCTTATTTCTAAATTGGTGAAGTCTATACACATTTTCAGACTTCTCAACACACATAATTATGTAAAGTGTGTGAGGAAGCAAAACAGAGTCATGAGGAGGTGTTAGAAGCCTAGGCTTAGAAACTACTGCTGACAGGATGCTGCACAACAATACTTAATTGGGTGTATGAATCTTATTAAAAGTGCTTCCAAGTTTCTATTACCCTAACACATGCCCTGGAAAGATTTGTATGTGTTCATATAAAGGTTGACTGTAGAAATGGAAACAGAGTCACTCAGATCCTAGTGTTCAGAAAAACTAAGCCATTTCACAAAGGAAACAAAAGTACTTTCTGTAGACCTTGAATCTACACATAGCCTTGGGATTCACAGCTGTAATTCTGTCCTCTCTCCTGAATTTTAGCGAAAGTTAAATCAGCAACAGTGCTTGCAGGTCTACATAGGATAATAAATGATCAGTCCAGTAAATCTCACACCTTCTTTCCTTTACCCTAAAATGTAATGAAACTTTCAAATACAAATATTAACCTCAGTAAAAATTACGGAAATTGCAGCATACAAAATTATTATCTGTTTGAATAAATATATTTTTATCTGTGTGCTATTATCTGATTTTCAATAAAAGCAGTGAAGACAAAGTTTATTTGTTCAGAAGGTCCCCATAATCTTGGAACATAAACATGGGATTAATTAAAACATGGGATATTTTATAAAGGTTTTTAGAATCTAGTAACTTAAACCTTTTGTCAAAATTATTAACATCGCTTATCAAAATTTTTAACATTGGCCAACCAAATAAATATGAGCACTGTAAAAGCAACAATAACATCAACAGCATGGTTTTCCCCTCCTCTTCTCCATAATCCTCCTCTGTCAGCTGCCAGAATTTACAGTTTGTCTGCCCAGGGAGTTCTCTCTTAAACTCTAATAAAATTGTCCTCAAGCTTCCATTAAAAAAAGCACTACATTTGTATCTCAGATGATAAAATCTTCAATTTCACATTAAAATGCATTATATGTTTTAAATTAAATTATAATTTAGAATATGAATTAATTTAAATATAGTTTTGTCTCAATGTGAGTTCTACATCCTCAAAATAGTCAATAGAATATTCTAATATAAGTTGATATATGTCATAGCAAGCTCGTAACACTTTTAATGAACTTCACATATGCATCAATATATATGCATCTATGTAATATCAATGCTTTACATTCAGTTAAAGACAATTTTATATTTCATTTCTGTCTTTATTAGAAGTTTAAAAAACAAAATTTAAACTGTCTTTGTTGGTTTTATAGTGTGTAATAAGTCGAAGATAATATATTTTCATAAAGAGATGGAGTCAATATAGAAACTTGAGGCAACAGACAAAACAAGAGAACACCAAAGGGCAGCACTGACCAAAGTGAGATAAAAATCTTCCTGAAAAGCAAAGAAAGAACTCTGCACATGCAGATTTTCAACAAAACATACACCTCTCTCATAGCACCTAAATCTCAAACAAATACTTTAAAAGCAACTTTTCCTGATTTTAATGTAATCACTTTGAGTTTCTCTCCATTTAGTTTAATGGTGGCAGCCGGCTTGCTGTATATTGCTTTTATTATGTTTAGATATGTTCCTTGTATCCCTAAAATCTCTCCAAAACCTTTATCATAAAGGGGTGTTGGGTTTTGTTCAATGCTTTTTCAGCACCTAATTAGATGATTATGTGTTTTTTCTTTCAGTTTGTTTATATGATGGATTACATTGATAGATTTTTTTTCGTATGTTGAACCAGTTCTGCATCTCTGGGATGAAGCCAGCTTGATCATGGTGGTTGATTTTTTGATATGTTCTTGGATTCGGTTTGCCAGTATTTTATTGAGTATTTTTGCATCCATGTTCATAAAGTGAGGTTGGTCTGTAATTCTATTTCTTGAATGAGTCTTTGTGTGGTTTCAGGGTAACCAAAGTCTCATAGAAAGAGTTTGGCAATGTCCCTTCTGTTTTTATTATGTGGAACACTTTGAGGAGTATGGGTATTAGCTCTTCTTTGAAGTTCTGGTCGAATTTTGTGCTGAAACCATCCAGCCCTGGGCTGTTTTGAGTTGGGAGGCTTTTGATGACTGCTTCTATTTCCTTGTAGGTTATAGGTCTATTTAAATTTTTCACCTGGTCTTGATTTAATTTTGGTAACTATCCAGAAAATTGTCCATTTCTTTTACATTTTCCAATTTTGTGAAGTACAGGTTTTTGTAATGTGACCTAATGATTCTCTGGAATTCCTCAGTGTCTGTTGTTATGTCTCCCTTTTCATTTCTGATTTGTTAATTTGGATGTTCTCTCTCTGCCTTTTGACTAGTTTGGATAAGGGTTTGTCTATCTTACTGATTTTTCTCAAAGAACCAGCTCTTTGTTTCATTGATTCTTTGTAATGTTTTTTTTTGTTTCTATTTTATTGATTTCAGCCCTCATAGAAATATATAATTCATTATTATTTAACATTATCTTGAGACTTAATGTACTTAATGACCTCAAGACACTCTGAAACAAAACTGGCCTGTTCATTGAAGTATTTGATTTGTGTACATTTGACTCAGCAGAATAAAAACTCCCACATAATACAAATTCTAAAAAAAACTCATCTTCATCTTGTTGTAAAGTATTTCTGAAACTTTTGAAATTGGAAAAAAAATCACACAAATATTCTGTGCTGTCAATCCATGTACTGTAGTCTATTTGCCTAAGTCAGTAGTTTTAATAGGTAATTTGAAAGAATTTACACCTTTTACATGGTTTTTAAATCAGTATCTCATATACTAGGCTCATCATTAACACTCAATGAACTTGAGGCTGACCTTGAACTTCAGATTCTCCAGTGTCTACCTAAATTCAGGGATTATAGGTATGTACCACCATGTCCAGTTTACTCCTGCCACAGACGAAACTTGGAGTACTGAGAACACATGGCGAGCACTCAACTGACCCAGCTCCATCCCAGACATCAATTTTTGTCTTTTAGAACTAAAAATCATTTACAACTGACGGAAGAGTAACAAATTCATGTTAATCTCATGGTAACTTCATTTTCCTTTACAAAACTATGATAAGAAAATGTGAAGCAATTTCTTAATGTAAATGGCAAAAGGCTAAATAGATCCAAGAAGAAAACAACATAAAAAAATAGGGTAACAAGAAAATAATGGTGATCAAGTGTGATGCTGTGTGAAGATGGTGAGGAGGCTCCCTGCACATTAAGATGCTACAGTGAAAACAGCAATGCACTCCAGAGCAGAAAATAGGCTTCAGATAGGTGGAGCTACATCAGGAGCTGCTGGACCCTTTTATTATTGGTAATGAAATCTGTTAGCTATGGCCCAGAGGGGAAACAATTCCTTTTCTACAAAAATACATTGTGATCATTACTGTTTTAATTAGAAGCCACTGCTACAACATGAACCATTGCGTCACTCTTTTCAGCTGTGGGTTATGAGCTGTGGGTTTATATTCTGTAAGTTGGTATTAGTTAAGGTTTATTTTACTGATTCAGAAACCTTTCTAGAAACAAGTTCTTTGTTAAGATATCCACATCAGGATGGTGAAACTAAGATCAATATAAAATACACACACACACACACACACAAAAAAAAAAAAAAACAATTCTACTGAAACAATATGACTTTCAATAAAGTGTTCTCAAATAAAACGTTTTGAATATTTAGAAACAATTTAACACTCCAAGGTCATACAGAAGATATAAAAGAGCACTTACCATTTTTATCCATAGAGTTTGGTTCTGATTGTTTCTTGCCAATGTCAGCAAAAGATCGAACAATAGGAATCCTGTTGGTGAGTTTTTTCTGGTTCTGGTGATGATGCTGTTTCATCAGGGCTTCATGGACTCTGTGGCGTACATCTTCATTCAGTTGACCTGAGCTGATCTGTTGGTCAAGAACCATATCTGAAGATGGAAAGAAGATAAGGAGCACAGTTTTTCTGTTAAAAACAGGCACCCTGAGTATTATTCATATTAAAATAGGGCTACAACTTCAATGTACGATGTTTTGAATAAATGTTTATTTTTTATAGGATTGCTACATGGAAATGTGAATTTTCATTATAAACCACTCATTTTTAAATACTTATTTTTTCAAATATACTAGATTTTATTACAGGAAGTTATTTTTTCATTATTTGTACTGATTGGTAGGGATATAGTGAGAATAATCTCAAACTAATTAATATGTCTGTGATTGAAAATGATTTCATTATAGTCTCTCCCCCCCCCCCCTCTCTCTCTCTCTCTCTCTCTCTCTCTCTCTCTCTCTCTCTCTCACACACACACACACACACACACACACACTCACAAACACAAAATTTTCATTAAATAGGGTATAGGGCTCCTCTGGAAATTTGCGAAGGCTCCAATACACTCAGCATTTAACTGTAGTTACGAAGTTGGGTGTAAAACTTTCAACAACAGAAAATGCCAACCAGAGTAACTAATTTAAATCCCTTTTTGCAATCCAGGCTAGCTTCAAACTTATACTCCATATTTTTGAATCACCCAGGAACTCATATTATAGGTGTGTAGTAGCCACATACTTAGCTTCCCACATATTCTAATGTGGGTTTTCTATGACTTTCTAGTGGAGAATAATTTTCTTTATTCCTCTAAGTGAGGTTAGGAACTACAGTAGTACCCTTAGAATGTGTTAGTTAACAAAAAACCATAACTGAAAAACATAGAAGTTCAGAAAACTAAACTGAGTACACTGATATTTTCTATGCATCGCATCAAGAATGCCAATAAATAAATGAACATTTATTTTATGGGCATTCGAAGTTCCTTAGTGAAATAATATCACCTCACTGTAGTCTGCCTTCAGAAAATCAAAGATTAAGTTCTAGGTTCAAAGCAGATGCCAATGAGCTGCCTCTTGCTGACATATTCAGTGAATTGCAGCCTTTAATATTAGCAACCTTTAAATATTAGCAAATTTTTCCCTTATAATACTGAGCTTTCTTTTTGTACTAAACAGAAATGGACAATGATGAGGGACTTGAAACGCTCTACAACATTCTAGCTGTGTGACTTCACAAAGCTAAATAATCACAGAATTATTACTTGTAAGACAGAAGTAACAATATATGTATCACATGTCACAGTCAGGAAAACAATCTAAGGCCCTGCAAGCACTGATCAGCAAATAGAGGACAATCAGGAAAGAACTTCCCAGTACTGGATTTTCTTTGCAATTTCCATTAATCAGGGTATAAGTCTCTGAAGTTTGTGAAGGATTTAATACACTCAGGTTATAGCAGCATCAACTAGGCTCAGCAATAAAAAGTGCAAATCCCCTTGGTTAAACTGATTCATCTGACTAGCTTGCAGGAGAGGAAAATCACAATGAGCCTGATTTCAGTTACAGTTCTCTGTATCTTTCCTCTTCTTATAGGTGTGTACTTTAGCCACCAGTTTGTCTCTTTATGGGCAGAATGTGGCGCCAGCAGCAACAAGGAAATACCCTTGTCCATATCCAGTAAGAAACAGATTAGCTTTTGCCACTTTGCTTTATAAAGGATCATTTTCACCTGGCATGGACATTCTGCGTATGACTGACATGAAGCAATCACTGTCAGTGGAGATGGAATTCATATAGATTTTGTACAAGAACTGAGTTATTTAGCCAAGTTTTTTCGGCCATGAGCCAGATGATAAACGATTTCTGTCACAACTACCCAACTCTGCCTTTCAACTACATTAAAACTTTCTAAAGATTACTGAAATTTGAGTTACACACAATTTTTACATGATAAATGCTTTTTCCTTTTCATTTGCAGCCATGTGAAATGTCCCAAATCTCAGATCAAAAGGCCTACAAGACTAGGCCGTGGGCCATATTAAAAACAAAGAGTATAGTTTGCTCTGTCACTTTCTGTTCACAATGGAAAGAAGTTAGAGATGAATATTTGGGAGTTGGCAATAATATGTGTGTGGAGTATTTGGAAGTCATCCACTGTGATTAAAAGTCCCATTCAATTCTGAAAAGTGCATGGCATTAAAAGATGAAATGCAAATTCTTATTTCAGTTCTTCGGAGATCGGTAATTATAACATCTCTGAATTAAAACAAAATAAAGGAACTAAGGAACTGTCAACATAAGACATTACTTTGAAAACTTGCTATGACAGAAAATGTATATAAAATCTGTATTTTATATATAATAGTAGAAGCTATAAGGAAGTTAATAAAACACTAATATAACACAATTTTAAGGCAGATCCAGAAATAAAATATTATGACTCCCGTCTTGTATACTAAACAGAACTTAAAGTTATCATATTAAAACCATACATTTCATAAAATTATAACTAAAATTCCATTGAGCCACATTACTTGCACACTAAAAAATTTCCCTAATTTCTACCTTTGCAATTAATGAGAGATAAGATTTATCTCAAACAGATACAGAGGAGAAAGTAAAATGTATTTTTTTCAAATACTCATTTATTCCTTAGCCATACCTCTTAGGCACAAGCCAATGACATTACAGAATATATTAGTGAACTGGAAAGGTTGCTCTTCTTGCTTGAGAATAAAGCGTTGTGGAGTGAGCACCAGAGACAGGCATAGAATTTAGTCATCACATACAGTGTTCTCTTCCAAACATTAATACTTATCAGTGTTACTTGAAAAGTTAGGAACAATGAACCAGGATGGCTTTGGGCCCACAGTCAAGTCCTCACAACTCACCAGGCAATGATGTCTAATATAGAGAACCTGGCAAAGCCCAATGCCAGGATCTTGTTAAGAAAAAAAGCAAGAAGGAAAAAGATAAATGAGAACATTGTAAAACCTACAGTGCTTGTGTTAAAATGCTTGAAACTGAAGAAGCATTTGTCGTCGCAGTGAGGTTATTGCTGTACTATAATCAACACATCTTGATTACCAAGAACACTAAGAAGGCATGATTTTCTTTGCAAAAACTTTATAAACCTCTGTCTTCTTCAAATTTACCATATAAATACTCTGAAACCGATTGCCTTAACTTTCAAAAAACAAAACAGAGGTTGGAGCGGGGAATATGAAGTGGTAATCTTTCTTGGCTGCCAATTCTAACAGCACTGTGGATACTAAATAGAGTACTTAACTTTCTAGACTAAGGATTGTCATAATATGAACAGTTTTGTGCCTTTGTTTTGTTTTTTACAGGGTCATAGTATATATCCCTGGCTGGTCTAGAACTTACTATTAAGGCCAGTCTGGCATCAAACTCAAAGAGTTCTGTCTTTACCTCCCAAGGGCTGGGATTAAAGGTGTACATCATCACACCTGGCATGAACCTGATTTTTAATACTGGATTTCCATACCAGTCTTTAGTTTTCATTCAGTGGGGTAAGCTATTAATTTATCCTCCAATGAAAAATTTAAGTAGCAAAAGTTGTTTTAATGAGTTATGATTGATTATTTGTCCATGATACTAACTTCATCTTGGTTTTAATTTCCTTCTAACTCTCATTGACAGAATCAGGGTAAAGCATTCACACTTCAAAGAGAATATTTCCATTTTTAATCTTTATAATTCTGAGTTTTAAGAGATTAGAACAGACCATAAATTGCCTACAATGTATATGAATATAAGTAGGAAGCATTTTGACATAATTAATTTCCACATCAGAATAAATCATGGTAGGAAATTATATCTAGAGAGTTTTGTATTTGAAAAGGTTAAGTAATATTTTGAGGGATGAAGTTTGGATTTATTGAGTTCCCTGAATCACAGAGAAATAGATATGTTTTAAATTAACTTCTTCCAAAAGAAAATCCTACTTTAATTATACCAGAAATTCTTAAAAGACCTGCCAGATACAAATAGGATTTTCTGCTACTAAGTCTAACAAAATCTCTTTAAGGAATTATCTGAGTCTGTTAAAAACATATCAAAATCTGATGAAAAATAAAAACATTGATATAAAATATTCCACCACTCAAAAACAATATATGTCAGGTTTTCCTATAACAAATGTCTAGAAAGCACTAGCTCTACAGATTTTATACATCCATGAAGTAGTAGGATCTGGATCCTTCAAGAAAAATGATTTAGCTTTTAGAAAATTGACACTGGCTATCAATATATGTAGTTAGCTTTTAATTTCCTGTGTTTCTTTGTGTGTTGTCTAAATATACTATTAAGGTAGAAAAATATTGAAGTTGACTATTGTAAGTGAGGCGAGATTTGTCTTATATTCAATTTATTTCAAATACAGGGATAGGAGAAAATTATTTCAATGTCCCTTACACAGACATGAGAAAAGGGATAACAAAAGCAGCTGAAATCATGAGAATTAAATAAAGAAACGAAAGCCCCACCTGCAATTTCTTCTAAAGTATTGGCATGCATGTCCAGTAGCACAGTTCCATTCAGAACACAGCTTCTCAGCTCAAACAAGCTGTGCAAGGAAAGTGTGGCCACATAGGGCTTGCTCCACCGCTCTCCTCCATCCTCCACATCTTCTTCAAACTTTAACCACCTGTACCAATAGATATGCTTGTAAATATATTAAATACCACAATGTAGAAGAATTATCCTTAACTGAAAAGTAAAGGCTATAAAAAGAAAGATCTCTTGTTTCTGTGAGTTGAGGAAATAAGGATAAAAGTAGTCCAATTTACTGTTGCCTTTTCTTTGATTTGATCAAACCAAAATTTTCATTGTAATTGATTATTAAAAAAAAAGAAAAGTTCAATTTTATTAATATTTGTAGCTCTGCAGAAGTATTTCTAATAAAAATTCACTAGTGGTCACTTTGGTAGGACTAGTAAAGAAACCACCTTCCTTTATGGAAACCTTTGTAGTTAAGAAAGAAAGTGAAAGAATAAGCAGTGTTTTCTGGAGTTGGGAATCTTAAATCTCAGTATTTTAGAAAGATAATTTGTCCTAGAAATTTGCATGATGGTTATGCAGTTTGAGACGTATTGTGTAGGAAAAATTCTTGTTATGTTTGTCATGACAATCAGTGGTAGGGCTTGGACATCCAAGGATTGAGTTGGATATCATTCCATAGGTATCCCTTTCAAGGATGAAGCAAAAACTCTGGAGCCATTTGGAAACTACTACTTTCTTAGTGTGAAAGAAATACTCATTAATATCTAGGAACATCTGTAATCAAGACAAATAATAGGAAAAATAAAGGGAGTTAATGGTTTTACTACTCAGGCATCAGCTCTCTAATCTTAACAGAGGACCTGTTAATTCAACCACTTCTGATGAAGTCTAACCTAAATTCCCTCTCCTCTTCCTTTTCCTCCATTCATGACTCTGTCCTTATCACTTTGACCATCCTTCCTCTTTGCAAAAGAAAATACACAAAATTTCTATATGATTTTATATTGCTGTTTATGTAATAAGATGACTCAATTTTAATGGATGAAAACCCCATGAGAAAAACTAGACAGAAAAATCAAATGTATTAGCAGATAGTAACCAAAAGAGCTTGTTAGACTTGTTAGACTGTGTAGTGTAGAAAGGAGTGTCAAGAAAGTCAAAAAAGTCAGATTTTATCCCTAAACCATTGACACATATCTCTTCCAAGAACACTTTGTCTATATAGTTTTTCTAGTTCCTTATTTGTTTGCTTATTCTATGATGTTGTTCTTTGTGTTGTTGTATATTGCTGCTGGGAGAAAGGAATGTGGGAGTTCTAGCTGGAGAAAAAGTCCCACTATGTAGCCCAGGCTAGCCTGCCTGCCTTTGCTTCCCAGTACTTGACATTACAGGTGTGCAGCACTTCGCTCAACTAAGGAGTTTTTCTATTTATGTATGTTAATCTCTAGTGTCACTCCCCAGGATTATCCACAATAGCTTTGATGTTTTTATCTATTTTTTGAGAATTTAGGTTGGCCACCTACTCTTGATCATGGGGCCTACCATGGAATATGGCTGACATACCCAGTATTAGCCCATCAGAGAAAAAAATTCCTCTCCCAGCAGCTATCTATTTCAAATAGCTTCTTGGTTAGTGGTGAAAATTTTTTGCCCACTTTCCCACCTCCTCAATGGGACCTTTGAGTGGCTTGAGCGTGTGCAGGTCTCTGTAACTGCTGTTACAGTCTGTGAGCTAACAGATCTGGTGATAATTAGTGTTGGTCATTTGGAGAGAGTGGAACATCAGTACTTGGCTCCCTTTAATTGTATGAGTCCATGTGACTGTAACATGTTCTGGTCAATGAGCTCAGAGTGCAAATTATGTGTCACCTCCAAGACAGAATATTTAGCTGCCAACACGTGACTCCACTGACCTTTCTTTTTACATGATATGGGAACCAGTCATGTGCAAGATGGGGGTAAGGGGAGATGGGGAGAGAAAAGGTAGAAGGGAAGGAGGGGGGACCTGGGAAACAGGAGAATTGGGATAAAGGAAAGGTGGATAGGGGAGCACGGAACCACAATTCTTAGTTAAGGGAGCCACTTTAGGGTGGGCAAGCGACTTGACCCTAGAGGGGCTCCCTAGTGCCCAAGATGAGGTTCCCAGTTAGTTCCTTGGGCAGCTGAGGATTGGGAACCTGAAATGACCCTATCCTAGAGCAATACTGACGAATATCTTGCATATCATCATAGAATCTTCATCTGGTGATGGATAGAGATAGAGACAGAGACCCACACAGGAGCACTGGACTGAGCTCCCAAGGTCCCAAGGAGGAGCAGAAGGAGGGAGAACATGAGCAAAGAATTCAGGACCACGAGGCGTGCATCCACCCACTGAGACAGTGGAGCTGATCTACGGGGAGCTCACCAAGGCCAGCTGGACTGTGACCGAAAAAGCATGGGATAAAACCGGACTCTCTGAACATGGCGAACAATGAGGGCTGATGAGACACCAAGGACAATGGCAGGGGGTTTTGATCCTACTTAATGTGCTGGCTTTGTGGGAGCCTAGCCAGTTTGGATGTTCACCTTCCTAGATATGGACGGAGGGGGGAGGACCTAGGACTTTCCACAGGGCAGGGAACCCAGACTGCTCTGTGGACTGGAGAGGGAGGGGGAGAGGAGTGGGGGGAGGGGGAGAAGGGTGGGAGGAGGGGGAGAAGGGTGGGAGGAGGGGGAGAAAAGTGGGAGGAGGGGAAGGGAAATGGGAGGCTGGGAGGAGGTGGAAACTTGTTTTTTTTGTTTATGTTTTTTTTTCTTCTTTTCGCAATAAAAAAAAAATACCCAGAAAAAAAAAAAAAGAAAAGAAACTGCCAGGGTGTTTCTCTAGCATTTTATACTTACGGCCACAAAATATGAAAAGTCTACATACTCTGTATCTTCACCAGCAGTTTTCATTTTGTTAGTGTTTTAACTATTTTAGTAGTTAAACAGTTACATGCCACAGAAGTTTTTAGGTTGCCTTTTCCTAAATATTAATGATAGTGAATACTTTATAAGATATTTGCCACACTCACGTGTGTGTGTGTTGAGTGTGTGTGTGTCTTTTATCTTCTCCCAGAACACTCACAGAAATCATGGTTCCATCAAACCATCCATGTACATAACAGGACCTGGTGTGTTCCAAGACTTTTATATTTAATTTGTCTTTCCTAAAGATTAATTGCAGTGAATCTGTATAACACACACCCACATAATATTTTTGTATACATATTTCATATACATTCATTGAAAAATCTTGTGATTTCTACACATTTTCCTATTTATTTTCATGCTTTTGAGTATTAATAGTTACTTCTTATTTCATATCTTTTGTACAATATCAAAAACCAATTAGCTACACATGGTGGTCTACTTCTTGCTTCTTGATTCAGTCCATGGATCTGTGTGTGTATCTGAAATGGCATTTAAAATACAAATCCAAGTGCTATATTGTTTCATTTATACTAAATACTTCCAACTGAGAGCTTGCTTCTGTTAGAAGGGAATGGAGTCTTGGAAGCTCTAAGCATTTTTGTAGCTAAAATGACCAAATATAAGTTACATGCATGGATGGTTTGATGGAACCATAGGTTTGTGAACATTATGGGAGAAGCCAGAAGGCACTTTCCATAAAAGAAGCATACACGCTACAAATATCAAGTTACTAAAAATACCATACTTTCAAGATTCAGTACTTTATGCCAACTCCAGAATGATGCCAAAAGCATTAAGAGACATTTAAGTGAATGTTTTAAGGAGACTATATTAAAAAAATAATACATATCATATAAGTATATTTCTGTTTTCTGTGTTTCATCCAATTTTATCCTTTAAATATGCAGATAAAGAGGTATTAGGACACCCCAGTTCCTGTTTCAAGAATTTTAGCTCTTGAGTTTATGATAAGTTGCAAAATGTCTTATTATAATTAATAACCTAATGGGTCAATTATTTCAAATAAACTCCATTGATATTTGTTTGAATAGTAAGCCAAAGCAATTAAGAGTCTCAGATCATGAAGTAAATTTGACAGATGATGCAAATAATAAAATATAAAATTTGTAGGCCAAATACATGGCATTTCTCTTGGTGGTGAGGGATTTACACCCTGGGCAAACTGTTTTCATCCCCTTGGTGTGTCTTGATCTGTTCTGACCCATGATTAGCACACTGAATTCTCTTCTAATAATTAACATTAAATAGGTGTTTCATGAATTCTTTGAGGATTAAATTGGGGAAAATCTGCCCTACTTGTATTGTGTATTAAAATACACAAAGGAAATTCTTTTACCATTAAGCAACAGATGTTTTCTAAAGAAATTAACTTGGCATGCATTATGTACCACCAACAGCTTAACATTTAGGAAGTTTTATTCTCTGATTCTGTCAAATAGAAAAGAGCTCTACAGTTCCAAAATTATGGCCTTGGAGAAAGCAAGATGTCTCCAAACAAAGCATTCACTTTAAAGAGAGTTGAAGTAGGATTAGTAAAAATCATGTAAAACAGTTCATCTTACCGGAGAAAGAAACTATCAAAACTTAATGTTTAATGGCATTAACTACTTTTTTCTTTTAAGATTTTTTTAGATTATAATATAATTGCATCATTTCTCTATTTCCTTTCCTCTCTCTCAACCCTCCCATATATTCCCCCTAGCTCTCTTTCAAATCATGGCCTTTTTTTTATTCATTAGTTATTGTTACATACATAGATGGACATGATGTATATACCTACATATTTCTAAATACTTGAATACAATCTGCTCAATCTGTATAATGTTACTTGCATGTGTGTTTTTAGAGCTGTACTAATCCTAAGATCTTTACAATTCACATTCTACTGAAAAATCCACATGATGTGAATATTTATTAATCTTGAATATCAATTGTCTTCATGGCATCAAACATTGTTTTAATGTACTAGCACTTTTCCATGCTACCTTTAAATATCAAAGACATAAGTACTAGTCCCTACCTGATGGAAGAAGGTCATTGGCTAATAAAGGAATTGCCTTGGCCCATTTTATTGGTTAGAAGATAGGTGGAAGGAGTAAACAGAACAGAACGCTGGGAGGAAGAGGAAGTGAGCTCAGACACCACAGCTCTCCTCTTGGGGGCAGATGCCTCAGAGAGGGACACCATGCTCCTCTCTCCTGGGCAGACGCAGGCAATGAAGCAAGCCGCCAGGTTAGATATGCTGAACCTTTCCCGGTAAGAAGGGTGCTCACAGATTATTAGAGATGGGTTGATCGGGATGTGAGAATTAGCCTGTAAGGGCTAGAGCTAAAGGGCCAAGCAGTGTTTAAATGAATACAGTTTGTGTATTGTTATTTCGGGACATAAGCTAGCCGAGCAGGCGGCCGGGGTGCTGGGAACGCAGCCTCGCCGCCCCTATTACTACACCTACCTGGTCCCTTCTGGACTCATTTGTAAAAAGTATTTTTAAAGGGCAAACACAGAATGAAGCCTGCTGCCTCCATGACTGCACAACTGTGGTAGCTTTGCTCACTGTCTATAAATACCACCATACGTTATTTTTAAGTGTGACATTATAATTTTGCTGTTTCATTAGCCTTTCATATACTTCTTTTATGGTTTTCAACTAAACAGATTTTTTTCACAAACATTTATTAAGTAGTTAAGATTCAAAACTTTAACTTCTAAATCTAAAACTTTGTTCAAGTTTTGGTTGGAAAAAGTAATATCTATAAATTATCTATGTGTGGTGTATGACAACTGCAGTGTGATGGTAAAATATATTTTTATTTTTGCTATCAGAGTAGAAAGCTAATAATCCCACCTACAATACTAACCAAAAGAAAGAAGTGGTTGAAAGCATATATTAATTACTTAATAGAATTATATTGCATTTGAAAAATCAGATGGATTCATAAATTAATTCAGATTATTTTTAAATGAACAAAGGCAACAAAAACAAAGCTACTTCTGTCACTTTAAAACTCAGTAGAATTTAAATCTCCAATAACTACATTCTGTTTTCCTTGAAGTGTTGCTTCTCAGCCAAAATACACGCACCTTTTTCTTAAATGTCTATTCTGATTGTTCATCAGATGTCTCCATGAACTTCAAACAGCTGTGACATGCTTCAGACTCTAAAAGTACAGCCATAAATATGAATCCTACCCAGTCTTAATAGAGGATGCTAATAATTAACTAGATCAGTTCTCTTATGCCTTAAGAGAGCTACACACTCTGGACATTTCGGATGAGCACATTATTCAAGTCACTCTATTAGAGCATGATGAAATCTTGCCTGCTCAACTCTGAGAGTGATAGACGTTTCTAATGTTCCTTCTGCTACTTGCCAGCTTTCTGAGACTGGGAAAGTTATAAGCAGATTTCTGAATCAAATAAACAGGCCATTATATGATCTAGAAAGTAGAAACTTTCCAACAATTCTAAAAACAAAGAGATACTCAAGACAAAAATGTAAGTTTCAATTTCAATTCTCATTTCTATTATGAAGATTGAAAGAAAAGAAAATCACAAGACAGTAATACCCTGAGAGTACAGTAATGGTGCATACACTACCAGTGACCAGCAGCTCTCTAAAGGACTCTAGAACTGATAAACAAGAGGAAAATCATGCCTGTTATGGGGAGCTTAGCTAACTACTCAGTACTAGTGAAGTCAGGAATCTTGGAGGAAAACCGACAACCACGATTTACTAAACCAGCCTCGTCCCTAACAAGCATATAAACCTATGTCCTTATACCCACCGATAAATGTAGTCTTTACACTTCTTGGAGAAAACTCTTTGCAAAAGATAAAGACCACTACAGAAAGCACACCTAGTCAAAATGCAGAGGTGTGGAGCACAGTCCCTGGGGATACACTGGCAAAATACTTGTACACTTAAGGCTCAGCGAACGTTGTGAAAGAGGAGGGGGAAAGGTGGTAAGAGCCAGAGAATCAGGAAGTTTTCTGTGAGATTGTATCTCCTAGTAACATCAGAAGCTATATCGACACAGTCTCAATAACATGACTAACCAAACATGAACTGAACACAGAAACCAACAGAAATGTCAAAGTCAAATGGGAAAAGCCCATGAAGCCTACACCATATACAAATAACTTCAGGCAAATAAGGAATAATGATAGAGAAATAGTCTTTTCCAGGGAAAAATACAATGAGTGGTTATTCAATAACAAATGATCATCCCTGAAAACACACATATATATGTGTGTGCTTACATATATTCATATTATGCACACACATAAAATGTTATATATAAATTACATAATATATATATATATTATAGAGAGAGAGACTGAGCATGTTATATTTAGGGATATATGTGTATATATACACACACATATAAATATACATACAATAACAATTACTGAAAAAATTACTTAATTTTAAAGAGAGAAAGAAGGGGAATATGGGAGGGTTTAGAGAAGTTCTCAACCTGTGGATCACAACCCTTTGGGGATCACTATCAGATATTTACATTACAGTTCATAACAGAAGCAAAACTACAGTGTACTGCAATATGAGAAATTGTATTAAAGGATCATAGCATTAGGAAGGAAGAGAGCCATTGCTATAGAGGGAGGAAATAATAGAACAAAATGTAATTATATTATAATCTTAAAGTTAAAAAAATAAATCTCAATTATGTTGTTGTATTTACATGGGAGGAGTTGGAATAGAAAGAGGAAGTATATTAGTATGATGTAAATACAATAGCCATTAATGAAAATCTCAAAATATATTAAATTAAAAAGTAGAAAAACAAAGCAAAACAAAAAAAAATGAGTCCACCTAGGAACCATCCATCCTGTGTGACCCCATTATCAGTTACTCTTGCAGTAAAGGTTCTTGCATCAGGAATGTGGTCCTCAAATTAAAGGATTTTATGTCACATCAAATGGAAGCTTGATAAAGAAATGAATCATTATAGTACATTTTATTTGGAAAAAAAACTTAAATTTCCATCAATATTGACTATATGAAGTTCGGTTTATAGCAATGAGGAAATTTAAAATATTGCATAAATTTATATTTCTGATACAAAAATAAAGAACTAGAGACTCTATGCCTAATTTATACAAAATCTACATTTTAGTTAGGCCTCAGGTGAGTCATAGTCACATACAGATCTGGAGAGCAGTAGACCAAGGGCAGCCCTAGGCTTTCCCAATCACTCTGCATTCCTTAGTCACAGCATTCATCATGCAACATTTCCAATTATGTCTTTGTGCCTAAACTAGACTGCGAAATTAGTGAAAGCAAGATCTAATGTTTTTGCTGCTGCTGTCCTACATACCATGTAATACTCCATAAATGATTATTAAATAAGAATTATTAAGTATAAACGAGCACAAATTAATTAAAGGCATAAAATTTAATGCATGATTTTTAGAGTAATTCATCAATTATATGGCACTATCAAAATATTAATTACAAATGATAGAAAAAGATTTTCAGAAGATATTTAAAAAAATTAAACACTCAATTTAATGTACTCCTATCCTAGAAAAACAGGATAAAATATTCTTATTCTTCACCAAATACTACGTGAAATTGAAGAGTGTAACTAAAGCCTCTTTTTGTGTTCACTTTTTATTTTTAAAAAAGCTCCACAGTGAAATTATCAAATGATAGCAGCAGTTTGAGTGTAAGTCAGCAGTTGAGAAGAGGGAAACAAATGACTTGATCTCCACTGTAGTCCCGACAGCACACAAGTCCTGTTACTGTTTATCTTTAAGACCGCAGCTGGAGCTACTCGGCATCACTACTTGATTACTGCCTTCAGAAGTCACTCTGACCCAAAACCCAGGAGAGGATCTGCCCAGGTCAGATGAGCAAGTTCAGAAAGCTGCAAAGCTCATAAACGCTTGCAGAATCGAGGCACTGGGACTCTATTCTTCTGATGACCTAATTTATAAAGAAATATTCTTTCACTTCTGGTGTGGGAGGTCCTTCTGTCTCAACCCCAATCTTTACCTGGCTGTCTCTCTCCATTCGGCATCTTCCCCTTCACGCCAGCAAATCTCATCCAGTTCTGTGAAAAGGTCATGGGGAATGTGCTCCTCGTCATCGTCCTCAGTTCCAAGAATAAACTGCACCCGTTGTGACGGGGTATCTAGGAAGAAAATCATACAGAAGGACATGTGTCTATCACAGCTACATGGCTTAAATGCTTCAAAAATAGCAATTTACTAAATGAGTATAGTCTATTTAATAAAGGATACTATTTACTTGAGTTCAAAATAACAAATGCCTTCTTCTCTGGCTTTTAATTCTTTTAAGATAAAAATTGTTTTTTGGGTTTTATGCTCTATTCACTAAAGTCTTTTCATGACTATTCAACAGTACGTTGATATGATTAAAAAGGATTTGAGTTTTGTTCCAATAGACATTCAACATGTGTTATCCAATACCTGTTTTTTATCTATTGGAATTAGATACTTTATAAAGTAGTACAATATATTATATAATATATATCCTACCAAAAAGAAGAATTCTCTTACTTAATATAAATTAAGTAAATATAAATTAATTTTCTCCTTAAAATATTGGTATTTATTGATTTTGTGGTAGTTTCTGAAATCATAGGCTACTATAATATAATCTTCAGTCAATAGTTTCATAAAATATGTTTATAGAAAAATATAACAAAAAAGTATGAACTAGATATATAGCATAAGTAAGATCAGAAAATCTGTGTTTATATTTACTAAAATATGCAGTGGAAGTAAAATTGACAACACAGAGAAATTTTCCTAAAGGCTAATATCTTATCCTCTGAGTATTCTTTTATGAAGATATGAAGATATGGCAATAACGAAATTAAAACATAAATTCCGGGTTCCTCCTACCCCCTTCATTTTTGTTTCTACAGATTTATCCTTCATCCTCCTGCCTCTAGGAGCCCCTCCTGCCACCTTACTTCTACTTGAGTACTTCATACTCTGCTTCTTGGTGGGGACCAAGTTTAGCTCTTTCCAAAATACCTTCTTATCCTTCTCTTCTAGTCCATCTCTATTTCTTTGTGTTAGCCACCAATACACACCAACATTTTCTTCCAGGATCCCCCAAGTGGCTGCAGTGGACTAGAACTCAAAAGAACTATCAAGGACCCAACAGTTATTGCACTTGTCTAGGATCCAGAGACTAGCAACAGCCACAAAAGACTGGACTATCCATCAAACAAAAGAAAATATGAGAAAGTAACATCAAGGGACACCTCAAACATCCTAACTCTAGATGCCTAGACACCAGTGCAAAAACACAAGTGTGAAGAGTCACGACAATATCCCTCTACGGGTGCTACCTATTGTAGTAGGTCCTGAGAAGTACAGTATAACTAATCATGACAAAGACTTCAAAATAGCTATTGTGAATATGTTAAAGGACCTAAAAGAGGCTATGAATTAATGCTTTAATGAATGAAATAATGAAAACAATTCAAGATACAAAATTAGAATTTAACAAAGAAATAATAGAATCACTAAAGTAAATCCAAATTGAAATAAGACTGGTCACAAAAAATATAAGATGTCAAACAGCAACCTCAAAGGTAAGTCTCACTAACAGATTGCACAAAATCTCAAGTGTTGAGACAAAAAGAATACGTAATTCCAGAACAGAAAATCAAAAGAAGGCAAAAGTCACAGCATATCAAAGAAAACAACAGGAATCAATAAACACTGCTCATTGATAACTCTCAGTACAAATAGTTTCAATTCCTCAATGAAAAGATTAAATTGGAAAATGGGATCTAACTCTCTGCTGCATCCTAGGAAACCATACCTCACCATCAAGGATATATATCAACTTAGGATAAAAGAATGGAGAAAGTTATTCCAAGCAAATGGACCCAAGAAACAAGTAGGTTCATTCATTTTGGTATGTGATTAAACATTCCTCAAACTAAGACTGACCAAAAGTGCAAAGAAAGGACATTAGACGCTTATGAAAGAAAAAAAAAAATCCACCAAGAGGAGAATGCAGCTCTAAAAATTTATGAACCAAATGCAAGGGCACAAAAATTAATAAAAGAAAAACTATTAGAGCTAAACATACATATCCACACTCACACAATGATGAGGGGATATTTCAATACTCCACTCACGAATAGATGAGTCACCCAGACCAAAAAAAAAAAACAAAAACAAAAACAAAAAACCAGAAATTCTGTAGTGAAATAACATCATAAATAAAATAGACCGCCACACATGTATTTTATCCAAACACAAAAGAATATACTCTCTTCTAGGAAGTTCGTGAAACTTCCTCCAAAACTTACCACATACTTGGGCACAAGGTAAGCCTCAGTTGTAAAATAACACTCTGCATCTTTTCTGACCACCAAGGATTAAGCTGGATATCAACAACAGAAGTAAAAGAAAGTATACAAACTTGTGGAAAATGAAGAGCTACTACTGAATGAAATGTACGCCAAAACAGAAATAAAGAAATAAATATTAAAACTTTTAGAATTGAATGAAACTGAAAACACAACATGCCCAAAACTATGAAACATAATGAAGGCAGTTCTAAGAGGAAAGTTCATACCAAGTGACTACATAAAATTGTAGATATTTCATTAGAAATGCAAGAAATAATACCCAAAAGAGAAATAATCAAGAAACAAGTATGAAAAAATATCAGGACTGAAATCAATGAAATAGAAGCAAACAGGATAAAGCACAACAACAACAACAAAAACTAAAATGGTCTATGAGAGTTGATTCTTTTAAAAAAATATCAACAAGATTGCAAACAGCCAAATTAACTAGAAGATGGAGAGGGAAATCTAAATTAATAAAATTAGGGAGGGACATCATAACAAAATAAATAAAACATTAACCCTAATTATTAGAAGTTATTTGGATCATGAAAAATCAGCAAAGTAATTATATTCCTAATATACAAAGTTCAACATCTCAGTAAGAAAAAATCTAATTGTAAACATATAACTTTGATAGTCACTTCACAAAGCAAGCTATCAAGAAGCAATTGCATTTTCCCAATTCAATTGTTGGTAAAGAAAACTAAATTAAAGCAATGAGGTGCTATTCCTCATATTTCTAGAATATTTCCTATTAACACAGCAGCACTATCAACTCTTAATTGAAAGAGTAAAGTGAAATAAGTACTCATACTTTGTTAGTCGGAGTATAAACACATACCTAGTTAAGAGAAAGTATTTGGTATTACCTGATAACGTTGAAAAATACACATCCCATAGTGCTGCAATGACCAATCTGACTCATGAATATAAAATGTGCACTGACAGGCATAAATAGAAGTATCCACATGATTTTACCCACAGTGGCTCGAACACTTTAAATTTCTATCAAGAGTAAGATGCTTAATATACAAAAGTACATTTTTACTACATAATAATGAAAATGAATAAAATAAAGCTATATCAAAAACATTAGTCATATAAAAAGAATATTGAACAAGGGCCTGCTGAAGGATCTTCTTTATATAAATTAAAGAACTTGAAAAATACTCCATTTAGGAAGAAGGAGTGAGTCTCCTAGAGAAATAAGAGTAGTGATCTTGAAAATGCAGAGAGGATTCTGGGGTCAGGAAGTTGGTTGTTAATTGGGTGTTTCTGAGTCATAGTTCTGGGAGTTGGGCAAGTATTAATCTATGTCTTAGTGCCTGTGAATACTGCTAGTATACTATAGAAAAAATAAAAAAATTCAAAACATTTTGTTATTATCTATCACCAAATTAGGAGTTAAAATAAAAGCAAAAAGCTATAACTTATCAAAAAATATCTCTTTGCATTCAGGTTTTCTATATCTCCTCCATTTATCCTGAAGTGTGCATTCAACTTGCCATCTAAATCTAGAAAAGTCCTCTGTCTAATCCCAAGATGGTGTTATTATATACAGTATCTTTGTGTCCATATTTTAAATAACTGGATAATAGAATTTATTTTTTCAAACTTATTTCTACTGCTTATAGATTAACCAGCGGTAACTGACATAATCCTCTTAATCTTCTTGTCACATTCTTTGAGAGGCTAATGGAGAAAAATCATTTTTCAAACTGGTCATTCTAAAATACTCATTAATAGTCTTACTTAAAAACATAACTTTTAATTATACAAAGATAGTAAGGATGACACTAAAACTAACAATGAAAAAATTGAACAATTCCCATTTGCTAGAAAAGAAAGGAGTATTACCTATTTACATCACATTTTTATAAAAACTCTATTTGTTAACTGCAGTATCTAAAGGAAGGGATAGAGATGGAATAGTCAGTAAAGTGCTTGTTGAGCAAGCATGGCAACTTGAGTTTAGATCCCTAGCAATCACACATAAGCCAGGCCTGACAGCACAAGTCAATAACCCCAGCACCACAGGGATGTTGAGAGAGGAGGAGCCCCGGTGCTCAGTGTCCAGGCCTTCTACAAACCAGTTAACCCCAAATTCACTAAGAGGCCCTGTCTCAGAAAAATAAGGCTCTGAACCCAATATGGATGCACATACACATGTATGTTACACACACAAACATGTATATATACATGAACACATACATACATACATACACCTAAAACTGCTTAAAAATTAGTGATATAACCTTATTTGTTGTTAGAAAATATTTTATACTATTAAACATCCTCATTGCCACTACTACACAAACACTTTTGAACTCACCAAGAAATCACATTCCAGCTCTTGGTTCTGGTGAACCTAAAGCAGCTATCACTTGTCTGTGTCCTAAGAATGCTCACTTTTAAAAGGCCTTTCCTTTAAAAATAGCCAGGTTATTAAAACCCTGAGGCAGATAACAAGTAGCATTACATATGACAGTGTGGAGCATGTACTGGAGCGAGAGAATTCTAAAGAGCGACAAACTTCAAACACTTTTTCAAAGACATTGTTAAATTGATGATTGACCTAGAAATTCTAGCTCAAATTATTCTGTTTCACTGATCCGTACAATACTTTACAACAAGCAACATGGAATATCCAGATTCACAGCAGATAATCCTCATGCACCTTGGAGTTCTTCCTACTTATCCTACATGCCATTGGAAAGTAAATTCAGAAAAACCCTGAGGCACTTGCAGTAATATCTTCTAATGTTTTCTCTGGACTCCTTGCAAGTGAGAAAATGATTTGCCTTGAAAATATTTTTTTTTATTTTATTGAGCTCTACATTTTTCTCTACTCCCCTCCCTGCCTCTGCCCTCCCCTTCAACCCTCTCCCAAGGTGCCCATGCTCCCAATTTACTCAGGAGATTTTGTCTTTTTCTACTACCCCTGTAGATTAGATCTATGTATTTCTCTCATTGTTTTCTAGGTTCTCTGGGATTGTGGGATGGTTTTCTTTCTTTGAGGCTTTCTTTCAGTATAGAAATATTTATTACACGTCCTCACTATACAAAATATCAAGTCTCCAATTGAGTGTGATGGTGTTTAGAGCATGGTATCATTCTCAAAAAGTGACTGAGTATTTGATTTTACCCATTGTAGAATAGTATTAAAGGCAAATGATTGATCCTGCTAAAGAGATTTGACAAATGTTATGTGCAGGGAGTTATATTGTTTAGAGACTGCCCATGAAATTGTGTTGTGCCTAAAGAAGCAGATCTTAAGTATAAGCCTCAGTAAAGATACTAAAACATTTGGGAGGAAAGAATAGGTAGCATAGAAACACAGTGGCTTCTGCACTGGGGGAATAACTTATTAAAACAAAGAGAATGAGGCTTACCGAAAGAAGGTGACTCTCGACCGTCCTCTAGTCCCGAATCTCTCTCTCTGTCCCTCTTCCTGTGCTTATGACCACGATGCCTGTGACGACGGTGACTTTTTCTTCCACCCAGGGGCACATGAACTCCAATAAATAATGTTCGATGACCTTCATTACAAAACAAGTACACGAATTAAACCTCTCAGTAATTCAGAACACAGAAGATGATGATTTCCATGTTAAGGGAATCTCAGTTCAATCCAAGTCAAAATGGTAAATTATTTTTGACTACTTATAGTAGAAGCTTGATTTCTTTTAGCATAGTTTTTAAAAAGATACTTAGTTAAGTGTACCACAGATGTAAACGTAAAATTAATAATAGTAGGCATTTTGCTGTAGTTTTGCAACTATTCTTATTTTAACTGTCTTAATAATGTATCTGTTATTATTCACCATACCATAACTATAATTATATTCTTCATTAGAAAATTATCTGCTTACTCCCTACACTTACTTGTTTTATTTTACCAATTTTCTACTACTATTTATAATAAAAAGATTATAATTGTGTCCCTACAAAATGACAAGGATGTTTTTATTTTTTTTAGCCATTCTCTTCTTTGTGTTTCATTTCATTCATATTATTTCCTTTGTTGACTCTTCTTTTATTTACTCATTGAAAGCTGGGGATGACATTGTCTATCCTTGCATGTGTGTGTGTGTGCACTATAAGCTCTAAGACATACACCTTGATGTCAGACTTCTCTCTTGAACTCACAATCTACAGATTACTTACCCACCAGACATTGTCACTTAAACAACCTTCTCAGAGACATTTCATCTTCAACAAGTCTATGAAACTCATGTTTTTCTTTTGCTCAGGTATGAATTATCTGTCATCTATCTTAATGAATATACCATCTATCCATTCATCTCAGGTTCTCTTCACTATCCCAACTGGTATTGTCTTGTTTTGGACTCTCATCAACTTTCAGCAAGATTATTAGAACATCTATTTCCCCCTTTGATGGTTACATTTTGGTGTAGCATCAATACTGAGGCAATTATTTTGGAAATTTTAAGGTCTTATTCTAGATTAGATTCTAAATAATCATTGTGTCTATATTGTAATCTGAATAGCCTACATATCTAGAATTTACTTTAAATATCAAATTAGTTCATTAGATTTTACCTAAATGTCTTAATAATTATGTACAAAGAAAAACTTGCACATAAATAGCTATAGTAACTTTGTTCACAGCTATACATGTCACTTAATCGGAACAAAGAAATTTATTTTCAGAAAATAAGCAATTAAGATAAAATATGTATAAGTAAAGCACAACTTAAAAAATTATATTGTTTGACTCCCTTAAGAAAATACTTATATTTTAACTCTAAAATCTTCCTCAAGCACAAAATAGTACATATGCCATAATACCAATTCCTGGGGCTATTTATCTCCTCCAAAATCTCAAATGTTAAATATTCAACACTGATTGTGACAAATTTGGAATCTCGGCATTCACAGAGGCAATCAAAGTGAGACAATGTTATAAAATAACCCAGATGTAATCAGCATTCTGAAAGAGGAGAGATTAAGACATCAGTTGCTTTCTAAGTAGGGGCACACAGAAGAATATGAGAGACCGCTACCTACCCCTGCCATAGGCGCCCTACATCTAGAACTATAAGAAAATTAAATTCTGTAGTCTTAAGCCATCCTGTGGCATCTTGTAATGGCACTCCTATCTAACTAACACACAGAGAGAACCCTAACAAAAATTCTTATGGTAATGTTAAATTTCAGGAATTTGAAAACAAAGAGTCAGCCCTAAATAGAATGCATTTGCAATTGATTCCTGCTAAGAAAGGGCAAACCAATTTTCTCTCATGGACTATCACCAGGTATACCATCTACACCAGGGCAGGCTACATGCCCAAAAGTAGGTAGACAACATAAAACAAACTCTCTCAAACTTTCTCTTTCTCTCTCTCTCTCTCTCTCTCTCTCTCTCGTTTTTTGTTTTGTTTTGGAATTTTTAATCTTTGTTTTGTTTTATATTTGTTTGGAGAAAGAAAAAGGAAGAAATTGGGTGGGTAGGGAGGATTTGGGGAACTGTAAAAATATGATCAAATTAAAAAATGTTTCATAAAAAATGAATAAATAAATATACCATTTGCATATCAAAGCCCAATCATCCCTGTAATTTAGACTGAAAGCTAAAAATGTGATCACTCTACTCAATTTCTTGCCAAATCGTGCCTGAGTGTTTTCTTCAAGAAGTCTTTGGAAACTTAATCCAAATCCTTCCTTCGTTAAGTCTTTGTTAAATGAAAAGCTCGATAGCAGAGAAGTTTCCATAGAACTTACAATGAATTCTGAGAATAAGAGATGCAAATAAAAAACAGTAGTGGAAAGGGAAAAATATCTCCCCTAAAGGTCAGAACTTATTTTTTTAACATGTGTGTCAGTAAAGAGAAAATACACTTTTTCCCATAGAACAAAAGAATGACTTAATAAAAACAATATTACCTCTGTGAACAAACCATATTAAACCTTGGTTTGACACTTAAATTATGTTGATACTATTGTGTTGTAAAGAATCAAAATTGTAAATATTTTAATTATAGAACAACAGCATCACTAAAGCAGTTCTTGATGTAGAGGTGGCTGCAGCATGTATAATGTTGATGTTGCACAACAAAGAAAAAGATGCATTTTGTGGCTAATGTTAATAACAATATGTCTTTGTCTGGCCTGAAGGAAGTCAAACCATGTGCTCACAAAGAGAATTGGGTTTTAGCTGTGAAATGACTATACCACACAGCTGGTACATAATTCCTGGGTTGCTATAACTAGATATGTCAATCACAGGGAATAGTCAAGTACATATATTAAGCTGAGTAAGCATGTGATTTTAACACAATGTAGACTCTAAAAGTGTCTAAAAACAGAAGACATTGTTTATTTTAATTTATCAAAAATTTCTAACGCAACAGAAAGTCTTTGTTGAGGAAAATAATAGGGAAAAAGAAGAAATTCAATATGAATTCATGTGTGCATACAGCAAGGATATATAATTAGACTGCTACATGTTTTGCTTTGCTAAAAGAAAAAGAAAGCATTAAATGAATACTGGTCACATTTACCTGCTCTTGGTCCATATTTGTATTCATTACAAAGAAAAGCCTCATTAATGACTATACTAGGTAGAAAGTAGAAATCTTGAAAGCCTCACAGTTGTTCATCAAAAGAGGCATAGCCAAGACCTCCATCTAGTTTAAAAGGTACTGTGGCATAATCTGGCTATATAACTCTTGTACAAATACCCAAAGGACTCTAAAGCCTGTTAAGGAAATAGTTGCTCATTCATTTTCATTGCTCTTCTATTCATAATATCCAGAGATTGAAAATAGACTAAAGGCCCACCAACTAATGACTAGATAATGAAAACATTATATATTTAAACAATGAAATTATTGCTCAACTGTTAAGAAAATTAAAGTATAAAATTTGCAAGTAAATGAGTGAAATTAGGAATAATCATCCTGAGTAGGGTAACCCAGACCCCAAAAGACAAATACTGCATGTTAGTTTTTATACTTTCAATATATGTGCTATAATCCAAATAGCCACAGAGGTTAAGTACCTATTAAGGGACCAAAGAGGAGGAGAGGATCGCCCAAGGAGTAGAAGTGGATTGGAGTGTCGGATAAAGGGGAAACTAGAAGAGGAGGATTAAATAGGGAGTGGGATAGGAAAGCAGGATAAGGGAAGGAATATGGGGAAAGACAACTTCACCAAAGGCCTTTTGAAAAATCATATGGAAACCTAAAAGGAGAAGCATCCTAAAATATAAATATATGAAAGTAATTATATGGAGTCAGTATATAATGCAGGAGACAATGCCTCAATTAGACATATTATGCCACCAAGTAAAAGTTCCAGTGCCAGGAATGAGTTACATCTTGCTTAGTCATTAGCCAAATATCACAGGGTATTTCCAAGACTCTTGGTGGCTCTCTACAACCTGATGGTAGGTCCTAGTTCTGAGGACAATACTTACAGGTTTTTATTCTCTATTGCTTTTGATAATTCCAGCCACCATGCAAGCATGTTCAAATCAGGAGAGCAAATGATGAGATCATGTGCGAGGCTGAGGAATAACTAGTCAGCTTTTGTTGACTACAGATGTAGGAGTCAGCTAGTTTAGGACAGAACGAATAACTAGTAGATTTCCACCCAAACTGATGATCTGTAAATAATAACCTAATTTAATTTTTGTTACTGTGAACTCACCAAAAACAAACTTGGGAAGAAAAAAATTCATTTTATATCTTATAATCCCATAATCAAGAGAAGCCAGGTTAGACCCAGACCCACTGAGATACTCTCATGTGGCCCTTAAAGGCATGTAGGAGACATCTGTGTTCACCAAGTCACTGCTTCTGAAAAGGAATGACTGGAAGCTCTGTTAAAGTAAGAACGTGAAGAACTGAAGAAAATTGTCAAGAAGTCATTGGACATACACAAAGGATATGGACAAGCCTCCAAACCTTTGAATTCAACATGTAATTATTGTTTATGTTGAGCTATATATCATGCCTACTATTAAATTTTATTACCATACAATGAGAATTGTTATAAATAATTCAACTGTGGTATTAATTCTTATTAAATAAAAATATTTGTTAAACAACAACAAAAATTCCTCAACCATCAGACAAGGTCAAACAATTACCTAGACATACACCAAATTCTGCACAGAGTCAAATAGCTGCAGGAAGTTTTGGAATTCATACCTACAAGATTCCCATCAATCTTATTTTGTATAGGTTTTATCACCTGTCTTGAATCCATTCCTCCAGATGTGTACTTAGGCCGTCAAGCAATGTAAGCACAACAAACCAGGCCACTCTCACGGTCAATTCCCCATTTATGAGGGAGATTTTATCTGTTTTAATTCATTTGTGGGCATCTTGAATTGCTGCAGTTTTAGACATAAGCATTTTCACACTCACTTATAATTGAGACAGCCTCTTGCATTTTAACCAGAATAGGCTTGAGTTCTATCCACAACACTGTTCAGAACCTAAGTCTAAATAGACTCTTCAGCTGTTTTGCCCAATTGAGACCCTGGCACTGAAGGATGAAGTGGTTCAGT